TGGAAGATCGCCCCCATGTAGGGCTGAAAACCCTGTGGCGCTGGGTATGGTTTCTAGAGAATTCCTGCATGGGACTCAGCCTGGAGGCCTGGATGGCCCGCCACTGTCCTTGGTACAGCCAGCCGAGGCCTCAGGTAAGCATGGGGAGCCAGGGACCCCGGGTCCTGGAGGGGTGGCTGGACAGGGAGCGCAGGCAGGGGGATCCCTGCAGGAGGACAGGCCTGCAACAAGGTCCACAGCTTCTCCCAACCTCTCCAGGCCTTTCCTTCTTGGGCCCTCTATCCTTTGGAGAGCATCCCACTTCCCCTCCCCAAATCCTAGCTGCTGCTACCCCCAGGCAGTCCCGGCAGGGTCCTCTTGCTCATAACCTGACCTCAGCACCAACTCCCCAGGTTCCCCCACTGCTACCCCTAGGAGAGCTCCCTAGGTGAGCTCCTTAGGCAAGCTTGAGCTGATGCGCCTCTGGGTGCCCCCTACAGGCCCGTCAGGGGGCCCAGTCGGCTCCCACTTCCCCAGGCCGCGGTCAATCTCCGGCACCCCTTCCTCTGTGGAAATATCAAATATTATCATTTAAGGCTGTTGTTGGCCCATTGCCAACAATATGTATGCTTCTCTTTGGCTTTAAGTTGGATAGAAAAGAAAAAAAAAAGACTACTGGCATAAAGATGAATATATTAATACTGTGTAGTAAGCCATTCTCTTAGACCCACAAGCTTATTTCTTTCTTCTGATTTTAAAGTAAATTAGGCGTGCCTGAGTGACTCAATAGGTTAAGCATTCAACTCTTGGTCTCGGCTCAGGTCATGAGCTCATGGTTGCTGAGTTGGAGCCCAGCATCAGGCTCTGCACTGACAGTGCAGCGCCTCCTTGGGATTCTCTCTCTGCTCCTCCCGCATGCTTGCGCTCTCTCTCTCTCTCTCAAAAATAAACAAATTAAAAAATAATAATAATAAAGTAAATTAAAACATTTTTGTGGGCCCCCGGGCACCTTGCCTGATAGAGAAGCTGGCCCCTCACTTGCCTCCTTTCCCAGGGGATGAAGACAAGGATGGCCCCCACAGGGCACTAGAGCCTGTGGTCACACTCCCCTGGACTGTGGTCATAAGCTCCTCGAGTCTCCCCTTTCCAGTGGGCTGTGAGTGCTAGTCCTAAAACACATGCACTGGTTCGCAGTGTCGCTGCCCTGCTCACAAACCTTCAGTGCTCCCAGGCCTACCTCAGTAAGGTGCTCACACAAATGGCAAAGGCCACCAAAGACACAGGAACAAAATGCTACAGGGGGCCCAGAGGAGGGGGAAATAGAGGCTCACATTAGATGCTTCTACTCAGAAAACTCATGCGTGCTAAGAGGAGGGAGAAGAGAAAGGAAATCTCTGTACTCTTCCCATGCCACCCCCATCTCTTCTCTCCCTCCCCCCACCCACCTGGGTCCCCACTACCTCAGAAAAGACAGCAAGGCCAGAACACCCAGGGTGACAGCTTATCAACATCTACCATGTGGTATGTACTTTACAAACATCAACATTGTTAGTCCTCGTAACAGTCCACTAGAGGAAGTATTGTTATAGATAATAATTATCTCTATTTTATATAAATCTGGGTAAATTTCTACTTCACAGATGAGGCAACCAAGTAGCAGGGGGATTTAGTTCCCAAGGGAACACGTGTTCTAAAATTAAGAGAAGGGAGTCCTTGGCCCTGGAGCTCCTCTGGGTCCCATGCCCGCAGGAGGGAAATGATTTAAAGGGTATTTTGGGGGTGGTTTTGACCATCTGTGATTTCTACCCACCTTGCTGACTTCAGAACCCAGCCCTGGGAGAAATCTGCTCAGGGCTCCCCATTCCTCACACTTCCGTTCGTGATTCAGTCCAGCTGATGGCATTCACCAAGGTCCCCACAGCTGTGTATGACACCTGCCTCTTCACCCCTCCAGAAACGTATCGTCCCTGTTTGCAAGGGACACTAAGAGTGTGGTCAGAGAACTGGCCAGGAGAGGTGAGCTGGTGCCTGTCGACAGCTTGAACAGCACCCCACACTTTCTCCCCTTCTGCCTGGTGACGAAGAAGCACAGATGTCACCCCTGGCTTGGGACACCTCCCTCATCCCCACAGAATTCTCCCTCATGAACGCGCTGGAGCCTGCCCCCCCCCCCGCCCCGCCCCCCACCACCACCAGGTACTTTCAGGTGGTGCCTGTGGGTGGCAGATTGCCACGGAAAAGAGATTCATGTGACTGAGAAAGCTAACACCCTCCGCCCAGACACACAGACCCCGGTCTGCCTGGCCAGGAGCATGCCACAGACACCCATCTTCCATGTAGGGGAAGGAGGAACCTATTTTTTTCTTCCTCCTGTCCCCAGCTGTGTTAAGAAGTAATGATAATTTTAAACAACAATAATGTTGTTTAAGGGATCAAGTGCTTGCTGTGTGCCAGGACCACATTGGCAGCTCCTCGGTTAATCCTCAAAAGACCCTTCGGGGAAGACCCTGCCATTCTTCCCCTGAACACCCTCCCACCCCGGCTTTTCTAGATGGGGAAACTGAGGCTCCAAGAGTTACTGGCTTGCTCGGGGTCACTCACACCCAGCCAGTAAGTGGTGGAGGCAAAACTGGAACCCAGGACTGAGGCCTTAGCCACACTCAACCCTGCCTCCCTTGCTACCTGGGTCCACTCTGGACCTCTTCCCACAGAGGTGACCCGGAGCCAACCCATCCAGACCCAGGAGATGGTGGCAGGATCCACGATAGGGGCCATCAGTGTGAGCCCCGGGCTGCCGGGGAAGGAGACAAGGAGCAGTGGGGTGACCCAAAACTCCACACTGACCGTACAGACACTCACGGCTCCCCCTTTCACCCGGGAGACTCTAACGGAGAAGAGAGGAGAGTCGGGTGGGCCAGCCTAGCAGGCCGGGCTCTCCTGGCTGAGGTCTATCTGTGGGCAGGGGCCCTCCAGGCGGGAGTAGGAATCAGGAGGCAGGAAAGGAAAACCCCAGGCTCTGACCAGCTGGAGGCCTCAGGCAAAGCCCCTCTGAAGAGTCCACTACTAGCCGTGAGTCCAGAGGCCCAGGGACGGGCTTATGTTACGTCAGAGATTTCAACCCAGATGTTTTAGGGCCAGGAAAAACAACAGCCATGTGGCAGCTGCCGTATGTGAGGCAACAGGGCGTGCTGAAGACTGGGGCAAACCAGAGACACAGGCCTGCCTGATGTTGAGTGGTGGCTGCCAGGGCTATTGCCAGGCAGGAATGTGAGCTTGGTGGCACCGGTTTCTTTTTTCAATATTTTTTTTTTGGCAGGGGGGCAGAGAGAGAGAACCCCAAGCAGGCTCCATGCTGTCAGGACAGAGGCCAACACAGGGGCTGAATCCTACAAACTATGAGATCATGACCTGAGCTGAAATCAAGGGTCAGATGTTTAACCGACTGAGCCACCCAGGTGCCCCTCAGTGGCACTATTTTTTAAGAGAAGCCAGAAATCAAGATTTTTATGCGAAACCTACCAATTTTATGTGAAAAATTCTGAACACCACGAGCCACACAAACATAAGCCTCTTGTCCAGTTCAGCTTGTAGAGGCCACATGGTAGCCTCTGGTCTGGACATTTCTTTTTTAATGTTTATTTATTTTTGAGAGAGAGCACAAGCAGGGGAGGGGCAGAGAGGTGCAGAGAGAGAGAGAGAGAGAGAAAGATGCAGAATCTGAAGCAGGCTCCAGGCACTGAGCTGTCAGCACAGAGCCCAACACGGGACTCGAACCCACGAACTGTGAGATCGTCACCTGAGCCGAAGTCAGACATTTAACTGGCTGAGCCACCGAGGAGCCCCTGGACATTTTAAACCTTGGAGAAGACAGATGTATCACACTTCCCTCAGCTTCTCTACTTTTCCAACCACCCCCAAGTGACCTTAAACAAGCAGTCCCCAGGCCTAGGCCACCACACCAGGGGAGAGACCCTCCCAAGCCCCACCGCTTCTCGCACCCTGCCCCTACGCGCCCTTGCAGGAAACTGAGGGCTCTGAAGCCCTTGTTCCTCAGGGAGCCGCAAAGCCAGAAGAAGGAGAGCCTGTATGTGGTGACAGGCCATGGAGAACACGCGGAACACCATTCTTCAGAGCCTCAGCAACGCAGAGGGAGCGGGACAGCTGGCCTTCCTTGGGCCGGGCCATGCAAAGGTGCAGGATGTGCCTTGGGGCTGCTGACAGCCACCGAAGAGCTCCCCTTCCAGCCCAACTCCTGCCAAACGGCTGCCCCACTAAGACTCGCCCCCTCTAAACACAAATGGGCTTCCCAGGTGCTTGTGTTTATGGTTCTCAACTCTGATGACAGGTTACAGTCACCTAGAAAGCTATTTTGGTTTTTATTTGAAAATGCCAGTGCCCAACACTGCCCCTGCCAAGTCTGTTTTTTAAGTTATTTACTTATTTTGAGAAAGAAAGCACGTGTTGGGGGGGAGGGGCAGAGAGCGAGGGAGAGAGAGGATCCCAAGCAGGTCTGAGATATCCACACAGTGCCCAACGGAGGGCTCCACGTGGGGCTCGATCCCACGAACCGTAAGATAATGACCTGAGCCGAAATCAAGAGTCTGATGCTCGACTGCTGAGCCACCCAGGTGCCCCCCTCCCAATTCTAGTTTAACTGGACTGGAAGAGGATCCACTCGCTCGGATTTTTAGAACTCCCTCAGGTGATTCTATGTGCTGCCGGCATTGCTACCACAGTCTAGGGGGTTTACATCAGCTGTGGAACCAGGGGTACCTAGGTATGAATCCCAGCCCTGCCCCTGGCTAGTCGTGTGGCCTTGAGCCAGTCACCTGACCCTCCGAGTTTGCTGGTTCCAGCCCAAGAGGCTGGGCTGCAGAACCAGGGGAAGATTAAATTAGGCAACAGTGTGAGGAAGGTGCCTGAGCCACTCTAAGGCCCAGATCTGCTCCTCACCAACGCAGTCCTTAGCTCATTTAGTACCTGTGGGCCTCAGGTCCCCACCGTGACACAGGAAGCGTGGGTCCCACGCTAGCATCCTGGGGCTCTGGGACTCTCATCTCCCACAAATGAAGCGAGACTCAGCATCACAGTCGGCCTCACCTCTCACGGGCCACAGGAACGCAGGTGAGCAGGGGTCACAGATCGGTCCACCTCCAGCTGCCGTTGCTAAATACTTATTAGAAGCTAGAACACAGTACAAAATGTTCTCTATAAATTTTTCTCATCCACTCCTCCTGATGATTCCATAACTAAGTACCATAGGTCAGGGTTTTGGGGTACAGAACCAGTAGATCCAAGAGGTTAAACTGCTTGCTCAGGAGCACACAGCCAGCAAGTGCTGGGGCTAAAATCCAGACCTGGGCCTACCTGGTTCCAACATCCACGTGCTTAAAAGCTAGTTACACTGCAGCACCGCCTCTGAACACAGCAGATGGCTGGCCTTCTAATCAAGGGTTGAGATGTTAAAACACGCAGCCTTGCTCCACTTGGCAGTTGTGGGAAAGACAGGGGACAATGTAAGGGGAGGTGGGAGCAGCTGGGGAGCAGGCAACCACCTTGGGATTAAATATTTGCGGTTGATCTCTCACTACAGGTGACTCCAGGTGTGCTGTGGGACTAGGGTCAGTGTAGCATTTCCAACCTTCCCAGTTTGCCTGAGACTAGGACTTCCCTGGGACCTAGGACTTTCCGTGGGAAATCAGGACAGTTAGTCACCCTAGTGGTAAGTGATGGGGATCCTGAAATGACAGTGGCTCTCAACCAGAAAAGGAGTCCTCTCTTAGGTCAAAGTCCAGATAGGAGCCTAAGGGCTGCAGTGGCAGACAGTGGTGATCAGAGACCTGGCTCTGTTTTGTCCCTCTGCCACCTCGGTGTATGGCTGTCACCTCCTGGTCCAAGATGGCTGCTCCAGCTCCACGTATCACGTCCACGTTGCAGCCAGGAGGGAGAAAAGGACCGGTACACACCGCCTCCATTTACATCCCGCTGGCCAGAACCTGGCCACACGGCCTCGTCTAGCTGTGGGGGAGCTGGATTCCCAGTCCTTATTCAGGCCAGCTACATGCCAGGGGACAGGAGGCATTCTCTTACTGTTGTTTTCAATCTGCACTTTCCCTGTGGGAGGAGGGCGGCAATGTGACACCAGGGGCACGACGTCAGGAGTCCCAGCTTGCGGGGGCCTCCACCTCCCAGGGCTCTCCCGAGCCACATCACTCTCCACCTGCCAGGGACAGGGGAGGTCTCAGAGCATTTGAAGGTGATCCAACCACAGGGCCTCAGGACTCCAGCTCAGCAGTTCCCAAAGCCAGCACTCCAAACTCTGGACAGTGCTTAACGACACCAAGTGAAACCCATTTCTTTACTGGGGGAAGTTTTTATCATGCCAATGCGTGTTGCTTTGACCCCAGAATGCCTTGGGTTTTTTTCTGGAAATATCTTGTGTGCAACATACTTTGCTGTCCTGACTGGGCTTCAGGGTCCCCCATCCCGTGCTGTGGGATTTTCCTCTCCCCTCCAACCTCTAAAGCCCCTATGCTGATGATCAAGAGAGACCACGGCAGTCCCTCCTCCCTATCCCCTGTTCCTGCTGCCCCTAACCACCTTCCTGCAGGTTCTCAAATCCCGCGGGGACCTGAGGTCCTATTCTCCCTGCCCCCCCTCCTAGATCCAGAGTCAGAGCCACATGGTCAAAGAGAAGACAGAGACCATCCCCCAGGGCACCATCTCGGCCTACAGGGTGCTTCAGCTAGCAATCAAAGAGAACTGCTGGGGTAAGTGGAGGCTGGAGGTCAGGAGCAGAGACACGAGTCTCCCTCTGGGAGAGCAGGCAGAGGGGCAGGAGGAGGGAGAGGGAGACCATTTCCCAGGAGCCTGAGCACTCAGCCAGCCAGGTCCACATTCTGGCAGCTGCTGCAAGGATGCGACGTGCAGAGAGAGGCAGCCCTGAGCTCAGCTGTCAAGGAGGGCTTACTACCCAGTCCGTGTCCCACTTGGCCCCGGGGTTTGGGGACAAGGGGGGAGCTGCACTTGATGGGAGGAAGGTTTGTGTCATCTAATTAGCACAAAGAATCTTGCAGACTGGTGGTCCTGCCCATCCCTGGCCCAGGAGTGACTGGTGGGAGGAGGGAGTTTTGCTCTCCCATCAGTGCTGCAGCCCAGAGAGGGACTGGGGACTGAGCCCAGGGCAGGACAGCTCGGGTGCTCAGATCTGGCCTGCTGAATCTGAGGGTTGACTTTAGCTGGGGGAGGAAGATTTGGCCACCCGCACCCTCTTGAAAAAAGCATGAGCTTAAGAGTCCAGTGCACTGAGGTTTGAATGATGGCTTTGCTGTCTGCCATCTGCATGGCCCTGGAGACGTTACGAAACATCTCCAGCTTCAGCATCCTCGTCTATAAAGGGGCTCAGGCTGCTACCCACAGAGTACTGTGAGGCCACAGGAGGAAAGCTGTGAGGTCCCTGGCTCTATGGCCAGTACACCGTAGGACCCCATAACTGCTGTCTGTCTTCCTCTCGGGCACTTTCTCTTTTGCCCTACCTGTGCTCCCACACAGCTATTCTGTACCTGCCTGAAGGAAAGCTCTGTCAGAGCTTTCCTGTCCGTGGAGGTGAGTAGCCCTGCCCAGGGCCTGGAACCCAAGCAGAAGTCATCCCTCCCCACAGACAATGTCCTGACACCGCTCTTGGGAGTCCCTTCCCCACCACCATGTAGTCACCCCATGTCACTCGGGGCAGGGAGGGCCATCTTCTAGGGCCCATGAAGCATGGGCCCTGAGCAGGGGTGAGTGGGAGGGGAGTGAGGGGAAGAAGAGTGAGGTAGGGGAAATAGGGAAATAAGGACAGGACCCATGACTGCCACCCCATATGTGGTGGGTACTCAGTAAATGCTGGAGGGGAGGGGAGAGGGGAGGAGAGGAAGAAATGAGAAGGAGGCAGATGAAAGAATGCTGTGCTCTGCATCAGGCGGAAGCTTCGTCAGGACAGGACTGTGACACCAGGACCTCCTGGTTAGGCTGAAGGATCTAGTCTGGCTGGCCCTGGGCAGGGAGCCTGGGCACAGAAACCAGTGGGGGCCTATAGTCTCTCTCCACAGGCCCTGGGTGAGGAGCCCACTTTCCAGGGCCCGCGAAGGCAGGTGGGTGCCCAGCTGCAGGACCCGGCCACACTGCCTCCAGAGCTGCGGCACCTGCTGTGAGGTGCCCTCCAAGAGCTGCTCACAGCCCCCCAGGCCCTGCAGGAGCTCAAGGACATGGTAAGGGACCCATAGGCCAGACCAGGGCCTGGGGACTGGGGTCCAGGAAAGAACCAGGGAGGCACAGGGGAATGAGAGGCAGGAGTGGGACACGTTCTGGGTCTCAGCAGCACCTAACTATGGATGGCATGGTGAGGCTGGCCCTGGGGTGACCAGGCACAGCCCTGTGCCCGTTATTGTGTCAGACACTCCCTGAACATTTGCTCACTAAAACCCAAAAGAGGGACCTGGTTCAGCACTGCTGGCATCAGAACCCAGGCTCATTCCATCCTCACTGGCGTCAGAGGGGACACAGTGCCAGTAGATGGGGAACAGGAGCCTGGGTGGTGGGGTGCGGGGTCAGGGAGCAGAGAGGGAGACCTGCAGCCTGTCTCTCCCTGCTCCCCCTTGCCCCTGCCCTACAGCTGGAACAGGCCCTGGACACTGGGGTGCTGGGACAGCTCGGTGGCCCTGGGGGCTTCATCCTAAGTACTCTCTGGAACCCCTCAGGCAGACTGTTGGCCTTGAAAGGCAGGGCCATCCTCTGCATTCTTGGAGCTCTCCTGGGTAAGAGGGATACACAAGGGGCTGGGGTGGGAGAAGAGTCCAGAGGGAAGGCTTCCCAAGGCCCCTGCCCAGCAGCCCTTGTGTTCCCTGTCCACACTCTCCAAGCGGGCCTTCTGCTGTTCACCCTTGCTCTAGACGGTCCCAGGCCATGCCCACTTGCGTCTGATTCTGTGTCCAAGCCCTGCCAAAAGTCAGCATGGAAAAGCACAGCCCCCATTTCCTGATTCTGCTTGTGCATTAAGTGAGGGTAAGTGGCACTCACCTCGCAGGACACTCCAGCCCTTCCTTCAGCGATGATTTACTGAGCACCCAGTGTGTGTCAACAAGGCACTAGGAAATCTCCACTCTCCTCTTTCAGTCTGTAACAGAGACAGACATCACACCAATACAGACAGGGAACTGCCAAAGGCATGAGAGTGTCTAGCAGGGGCCCTGCTCCAACCCAGAACAGAGGCAAGGCTCACGGGAGGAGCCAGGAACAGGATTCCCCATGCTGGTGGCCAGTGGTGTCGACAGAAGTACTGGGACAGGCAGGACAAGGGGATTGAAGACTGGAACGGGCTATTCAATTGTCACCTTGGGAAGCTGGGATCTTCGCTTCCCAGAATTCCCTTCCCTGTATAGCTCTGGGTGAGAATCCTCCAAAAGAGGAACCAGCATGAGATTTGGGGGATGGTAGTGCAGCGGCAGCCATTCATCTCTGAAGGCTCCATGATGGACAGGTGCCGAAGTGCCCAGCAGATTCCCAGTGCTTCCTCCCAACTGCCAGTGCTGCTGACCAGCAAGGCCTTGGCCCTGTCACCACACACAGAGAGGCCTCAGACCCCACAGGCCTCCATCAGCTCTCCCTTGATAGTCCCCTTACCACTGGCCTTCACGGCTTTCCACCTTGCTTCCTCCACTCCAACCACAGAACTCTCTGTGCTGGTGTTACTTGAACAATTCAGACCAGCTTCTGCCTCAGGACCTTTGCACTGCACATTCCCTCTGCCTGGTATACTCCTCCCTCAAGATATTCATGAGGCTAATTGAGTTTATTGTTTATCATTGGTCTCCCCCTGCCAGAAATGTAAGTGCCACAAAGGCAAGAGTTATTGCCTGTATTACCCATAGGCTTGGATCTATCCAACACATGTCTACACATCATAGGTGCCCAGCATCCATTAGTTCCCTCCCCCTGCATGGATGCCCCATGGGCCTAGAAGGATGCTGTTTCCCAAGATTGGGCTTCATGTTTGGAAAAGGCCAACCTGGGTTCTTGTCCTAGTTCCTTCCCGGACAGGATGAGGAACCACCATTATCCTGGCTAGTAACCAGCTCACAAAGCCCTGTGTAAGGTGAAGCCTGCCATATACCCTTCATGGATCGTGTTTTAGCGAAACTGAGGGGGTGGAAGGGGTGGCAACTTACTCAAGACCACTCAGCACTTCCAGGGAAGGCTCAGTTCCCACCTTCTTGAACCTTCTAGGTAAGGATGGCCCCGAAGCTACCTAATGGGACTTCTCTCCACTTTAGGGTTCCAGCATCCCAGCCTTTCCTGGGCTTCCAGGGCCCACGAGGAGAGACACAGCATGACTCTGACGCTCGGTGGCCCTCACTATCTCTCAACAGTGCTGAGTGACACCCAACATTGCCTGCTGGCCCAGGCCCTGGGCAGAGGGATGGTACCCCAGCAAATGAAGCTGGTGAGAGCCTCCAGGATGCTTTATCAGCCCTCACTCACAGAAGGAGCACTCCCTGGCTCTTACTCCTCAGCACCCAGGCCTGTGCAGCCTCTGCTGGGTGGGCCGCATTCAGTCATGCACAGGTTTATTCGTGGATTATGCTGAGCCCACCCCTGTGCCACCAGGCCCAATGCTGGGGCTGAGAATACAAAGGTGAAAGAGGTTCGACCCCTTGCAGTTGGGTTAAGGGACTGTGCAAACCAGCAACAAGAGACAGTGCCTGCTTCCGCTCAAACAGGTGGCTATGGCAACACCAACCACAGGGCTCGGGGGCATTTCTCAGGCAGTTCATGACTGCATGGATGAAAAGCCAGGGGAGCAGTATCCAGGCAGAACAGCACCGGCAGTGGCTGGGAGCCACCGGGCAGTGTTGGAAACCGATGACTCCAGCCAGGGCAGGAAAGGAAAGGCGGTGTCGGGGGTACACTACCTGGGTCCCCAATTTTGCCAAACCTCAGCTATGGTGGGGGATGCGGGAGCACTGGCCCCAGGCTCCCACCCTCAGGGTGGGTTCCACTGATGCGGGACCCGGGAGACCTGTCTGTCCGTTCCGGATGCTTCCTTGCAGGTGGTGTGCATCTTAGAGCCCAACTTTAATCCGATGGAGGAAACAACCTCCTCCCTCCCACCGGAAGTCCTCTCATCCCTGCAGAATGCAGCCCTCTCCCTGAGCCTGGTGGAGAGCTGTGGACTGGAGATGCAGGGGCCCAGCCACTAACTCATGTGGGAGCCTGACCTGGTGCCACACCGGTCTCTATGGGTCCCTCGCAGGGCTGCAGATGCCGGCCGACCCCGCCGTGTAGGCCAATGCCTGAGAAGGGTGCCACGGCCTCCCCCAGGGTACCGGTCGCTCTGGGCCACAGCGGACTATGAGGCCCCACCAGGACCGGCTCACACACTCCCTTCCACCCCTTTCAGGACTGGTCTGCAGACATTAGTCACCCAGACCCGGGGGCGCAGGGACGCCGGTTAGTTTAGGGTCTCACCTTGGGCTGGGCCTGGGCCCTATCCACGAGCCCACCATGAGAGGCAGTAGAAGCTGGATCCAGAACAGCCCGTCTCCATCCACGGCCCCACCTCGGACAGCTGTGTAGCTCTGGGCAAGTTACTCCCCTCCCTGTGCCTCCTCCTCCAACATCAGCCACTCCGAAACGGGGAGAAGAATCCCCAGCTCTGGACCGTAGCGAAGACTTAAAAGTTGTACATAAGAGTGCTCACAACGGGGCTTGGCTGTCGGCTATTACTGTGTGAGGCGGCTATTGGTAACAATCGTCTCGCTGTTCTGGAGGAAGCTGCCGGACCCTTCCCCAGCTGAACGAAGGGCTCGGCAATCTCTCCCGAACGTGCGCGGCCCGCCGCTGTCCTCCCGCCTGCTTTCCCCTCCTGCCGGGGGTGGGGGGAGATGGGAGCACGTCCCACTCCGGGCCTGCGCGCTGCGGCGGAAGTCGTCCGCGGAACCGGACGCTGGGCCCCTTCCCGTAACCTTGCGTCTGGCTGTGGAAAGCTGCGGGGCCACTGCCAGCATCGCCGCAGAGCAGCAGCCGGACACCTTTCGGAGCAGGAAGTATCTCTGGTAAAACTCTCATTAGCCAACATGGCGGAGGCGTGTGTGCGCTGTGAAGGAGGGCGCATGCGTGTGCGTGCACGTGTGTGGGTCCGTGCGTGTGCGTGCAGGGCGCGCGCAGGACGTGGGAAAGGCGCAGGGCAAGAACCTGAGCACGTGTGTCAGCTGCAGGTCTTCGAGCCCCGGCTCCGTTTTCTTTACCTTAGCGGAGCTTCCCAAGCCGGAAACAAACCCCGTGCCGGGTGCCCTGGTTTTGCCCAGTCCAGGCAGTCACTGTATATGTTCATTTCCACTGATAAAACTTACCTAACAATCAAAACAATGGCCCTTGTAAAAATAAAAGAAACAAAATCTCAGAAACGTAATGAAGAACCTTTCGACCTCCAGAACTCCACTTCCCAGAGATAAGCAGTATTGACCTTTTGGTATTTATCCCTTCAGTATTTTCCCCATGCATTCATACAAATTATCTTGCAGGCCAATGTGATAAATTATTTTTGTAAAGCTGCTTTTTAAAAAATGCCATTACAGGGGCGCCTGGGGGTCTCAGTCGGTTAAGCATCGGACTTTGGCTCAGGTGATGATCTCGCTTGGTGGGTTCGAGTTCGGAGTCGGGCTCTCTACTGTCAGCACAGAGCCCACTTCTGATCCCCGGTCTCCCTCTCTGCCTCTTCCCCACTTGATCGCTCGCTCTCTCAAAAATATATAAAGTATTAAAAAATGCATTACATTGTGTGCATGTCATTAGACATTCTCTGTACAATAAGAAGGGAGGTTTTCAGCAAGGGGATCTTTGCAGACCTTGCACCAACCCCTGGAGTTCCGGAAGCATCCTTCTGCCAGTTTGTGTATCTTCTATCTTCTCAGACCTGAGAGCTGGTGTGGCGCCTCCTGTGGAGAGAGCGAGGAGGCCAGCACTGCCCCCATTCTCTGCTGCCTGAGTCCACTGGTCCATCAAAACAGCCACGCCTCTCTTTTTGCATGCTGCTTTTAGGGGCAGAGCCCCCCAGTTTTAATCAAGGAGTTAAACAGTGGCAAGTACTTTAAAAGGGATTCATTGTCTACTCACATGTCTTAAGGGACATTAGATGAATCCATACACATGGTCTACATTATCTGCTTCCCTTTCCCATGTCCTCACCTCCTGCAGCTGCCCCAGCACCTCCAACCACCCCTGCACTGATTTCTCCTTACTCCGGCCATCTGCCTTCCATCTCCCTCTTCCTCCTCATGCATCCTCCTCCTCTCGGAGCCTCATTATACAGATTGGCCTGTTTTCTCTCCTAGCAAGAATCCCTCCTTTTGTAGAGGAGGGAATGGACATCCAGTGGCAATTAACAGATTCTCTTTTGTGGGCTGGCCGACAAAATATAAATGTTGTTCCATATGCGTATTTTTAAAAATTTATTTTATTTTTTAAAATTTACATCCAAATTAGCATATATTGCAACAATGATTTCAGGAGTAGATTCCTTAGTGTCCCTTACCCATTTAGCCCATTCCCCCCTCCCACAACCCCTCCTGTAACCCTCAGTTTGTTCTCCATATTTATGAGTCTCTTCTCTTTTGTCCCCTTCCCTGTGTTTATATTATTTTTGTTTCCCTTCCCTTATGTTCATCTGTTTTGTCTCTTAAAGTCCTCATATGAGTGAAGTCATATGATTTTTGTCTTTCTCTAATTTCACAGCATAATATCCTCCAGTTCCATCCACGTAGTTGCAAATGGCAAGATTTCATTCTTTTTGATTGCCAAGTAATACTCCATTGTATATATATACCACATCTTGTTTATCCATTCATCCATCGATGAACATTCGGGCTCTTTCCATACTTTGGCTATTGCTGATAGTGCTGCTATAAACATGGGGGTGCATGTGCCCCTTTGAAACAGCACACCCATATCCCATGGATAAATGCCTAGTAGTGCAATCGCTGGGTCATAGGGTAGTTCTATTTTTAGTTTTTTGAGGAACCTCCATACTGTTTTCCAGAGTGGCTGCATCAGCTTGCATTTCATAATGCATATATTTCTAAACACAATTTTCTTGAAAAGTAAATTTTGCCTGAATTTAGAAGTGATTGTAATTTGAATCAACCATGTACCGATTAAATCAAACTAGTTCTAGAAAGTGAGGTTCTATCATCATCATCTAGATGGAGAAAAATAATGTAACACACAGCAAGGGCTCTGAAACCAATAGATTTGGACTGACGTTGGTTCTATCAGGAGCGTGACCTTAGGCAAGTTTCTTACCCTCTCTGAACTTGTTTCCTCTCCTGTAAAGCAGGGGTAAAAATATCTCCATGTTGGAGAACATCATCAAAAAGATGTGACCACCAGTTGATCTGTGAGTGGTACCCAGGCACTCCAAGACTCCTCACCCCAAGCCCTGTCCTTGGAATGTGGGTTCTGCTTGACTTTCCTGCTCCCAGAGACTGCTCCAAGGACACAGACTTCAGATGGTGATGTGATGTTGAAAACACCTATGTGCTGTGTATGTGAATGAGCACAGTTAGGGCCTCTTTATAAACTTTCAAGATTTGGAGGGCAGGTACAGGAATCCATTTGACTTGCTGTTGCCAAAGACACACCTCGTATGTAAATTCCCTTTGCTGGTATTAAAACTTGTCACCTACTTGGGGTGCCCAGGTGGCTCAGTAGGTTAAGGATTCCACTCTTGGTTTCAGGTCAGGTCACGATCTCATGGTTCGTGGGATCCAGCCCTGCATCGGGCTCTGCGCTGACAATGAGGAGCCTGCTTGGGATTCTCTGTCTCCCTCTCTCTCTGCCCCTCCCCCACCTGTGCGCACATGCGTGCTCTCTCTCTCTCTCTCACTCTCAAAACAAATAAACATTGGGGCGCCTGGGTGGCGCAGTCGGTTAAGCATCCAACTTCAGCCAGGTCACGATCTCGCGGTCCGTGAGTTCGAGCCCCGCGTCGGGCTCTGGGCTGATGGCTCAGAGCCTGGAGCCTGTTTCCAATTCTGTGTCTCCCTCTCTCTCTGCCCCTCCCCCGTTCATGCTCTGTCTCTCTCTGTCCCAAAAATAAATAAATGTTTAAAAAAAAATTTTTTTTCAAAACAAATAAACATTAAAAAATAAAAATTAAAAAAAATAAAACTGCCACCTACCAGCCTGGAGTGGTCTGCCTCTTTCTCAGGTCTCTCCCTGCCCTCTGATTACAGGGGCCAGTTTCAGATCACACCCAGAAAGCGCAAGCTCCCAGGAGGGTTGTGAACCAATACTCCATGTGCTTGTACCCCTTTAATAGCATGCTCACATACAGTGGCTCCAGATCATTTTCCTCCCTTTGTAGGACCCTCTAGAGATCCCATCCTAACAGTGCTCACAGGATGGCCCTTGTCTGAAATCCTCTTTCAAGCAGCTAAATCAGAGTCTCTGGAGCTGTTAGCTTGTGGCCAGCAGAGGAGGTAGGAGGGGTAAGCTGCCTTGTAGCCATGGGGACTGAAAGAAACAACTCTCTGGCAGGGTGCCTCATCTGCCTTTGGCCATCCCTGTGCAGCTCTCCCCTTTCTTGGGACCTCCCCAAAGCACACAGGACACAGTCTGGAAGCCAGTGTTGCCTTACTAGCTTTTCTAGGTATGAGGTGGAACCTTAGAAATAGGGAAAATGGGTCATAAAGCCATTGACAGGCAGAAGAGGGACCAGAACCCATACACGGGTGTCTTTCCCCTACCCAAACCATTTTGATGTCCACCCCTCATGCTCCTCCCACCTCCCAGCCTCTCACTGCCAAATGCTTCTGGAGAAATACTCCCTCACTGGGTCAATGGGGGCTGGAATCTCAGGGCAGAAGCCCTCAACTAGTGAAAGATACTAGTGTGTACTGAGCTAATCTCCCTGCTCCTGTAAAATATGTTCCACTCACTTCCTTCCCATTTCCTTCTCACCCCATCCCTCCTTTCCAGGTGTTCAGGCCCCAAACTAGGATCATTCTTGACTCCAATCTGTTGGTGATGCCTGTAGCTCTCCCTCAAATTACCAAATCTGGTTCCTTCTCACCACATGGCTTTCCCTCCTGGCCTGTTTCACTCTGCCCAGCCTCTGGTTCTGGTCTCGCTGGGACCACCTCCCAAAATTAACTACTGATAGCACACAGTCCCTGCTCATGCTCTGCTTCCCATGGAAACCCCAGGCTACAACAGCATGTTCAATGGCAAGTGCAGTGGAGACAAAAGTAGAGTAAGGGTAGTGAGGAGGGTCTGGGAGTTTGTCATTTTGAACAGCAGGGGTCAAGGTAGGCCTCACTGGAGGGTTACATCTACACAGAGGGCATGGCCTACCCATAATCCCGATCGGGGGACCTGCCACCTCAAAGGACTTGGGACAGTGGAGTGACCCCCACTGTGTTCGAGGAACAGTAAGATTAGCATGGCCAGGGCTGATGCAGAGTGAAGGAGACACAATACTTGCACATGTGCATGATGTGTGTACAAGGCTTATCCTCACACCGTTGTTTACAACAGTTTGAAGACAGAGTCCATCAGACAAGGGCATGGTTAAGTAAATTATGGTCCATCAATACAATGGAATACTACCCAGCATTCAAAAAGAAGACACTTTTTATTTAATAATATGCAAATAAAGCCAAGTGTGGAATAGCGTATGTAAGAAGTGGGCATTTGGGGGCACCTGGGTGGCTCAGTCGGTTAAGCGTCCAACTTCGGCTCGGGTCATGATCTCGTGATCGTAGGGCTCATGAGTTCATGAGCGTAGGGCTCTGTGCTGACAGCTCAGAGCCTGGAGACTGCTTCGGACTATGTGTCTCCCTCTCTTTCTCTGCCCTTCCCCTGCTCACACTCTCTCTCAAAATAAACAAACATTAAAAAAATTGACAAAAAAATTACATTTGAGTAAAGAGATGGCAGAATAAATATGAATGACATAAAATCTGAACCCAAGTCTATCTCACATACAAAAGCCATGCTATTTCTCCTACAACCACACATTGTTTAGGAATTTCTTCAAAAAAATTTTTGAAAGCTTCCGGTGTTTTGTATCAACACACTATTCAGACCACATAGTGGAGAATATACACCAACATTTGCTTTTGCTGTGGCTTCTTTTGTCTGAATGCCCTCTCTAAACACCTAGAACATGTTGCCCTCCTCCACCAAAGACGCACCAGCATCCATTATTACAGGGCTAGGACACAGTCCAAGTGGGCTCTGGGGAGGTGGGGGGGGGGGGGGTTGAGTATTTCCGGACATAAAAATGAGCTTGTGAACACACCAACTGGAACAATCTATCAGCACGCTACACCTCGATGTTTAAAATAATTGTGTTGCTAATTTTCATTTCACATAGGCAGTTCGTTGCCTGTCCGTTTAGAAAACCAGCACCACCACTGGTAGTGTTCATTAGTTATAGGATCTTTAAAGGGTTCATTAAAATTGTGCAGCTTTGCGCAGCACCCTCATCAACTGAGGGAGGTACAGTTGGTACCATTGACTACTCTAGAATCAATGGGCAACAGGACACCCAGGATAGGCTGTGTTGCTGTTTCTAACACAGTTGAATGTCATGATAAAATGGACAGTGAGCACTTCTGATATCTATAGGACACTGCAGGCATTATCTAATATAATCCTCAGGGGTCACTGGAAAGGGTAGGTATCTCGCGATATTACCCGTTTTGTAAATGGGGACATGGACTCCCCCAAAGTCACACTGATTTAAACTCAAGTCTGCCAACTCCTAAGTCTGTGCTGTGACGGTTCACATTCCTATCGCCTTCTGCAGGCGGTATATACAGACATGTATATATGACGTGGCATCACACGTTAGGGATTTTGCCTCAATTCTCTCATTTTACTGAGGAGGCAGAGTTCCAAAGTGACGTGGCTCGGCTTTCCTCTTAATACCCAGATCTTTCTATTCCATCTTTTGTGATCACACTGTACTCTACGGACCTTAAAATATGCTCCGTGGGGCGCCTGGGTGGCTCAGTTGGTTAAGCGGCCAACTTCACTCAGGTCATGATCTCACGGTCCGTGAGTTCGAGCCCCGCGTCGGGCTCTGTGTTGACAGCTCAGAGCCTGGAGCCTGCTTTGGATTCTGTGCCTCCCTCTCTCTGACCCTCCCCCGTTCATGCTCTGTCTCTCTCTGTCTCAAAAGTAAATAAACGTGAAAAAAAAAATTAAAAAAAAAAAAAAGGAAAAAATATGCTCCGTAACGGATTATAAGGATTTATGGAATGGAAGGTAGTGCACTCTCAAATGGAACCAGAATGGCAATTTAACTCAAAAGACCTAGATTTGAGCACAAATGCTAATTATCTTTAAAAAAAAAATTTTTTTTTTAACGTTTACTCATTTTTGAGACAGAGAGAGAGACAGAGCGAGAGACAGAGCATGAATGGGGGAAGGTCAGAGAGAGAGGGAGACACAGAATCTGAAACAGGCTCCAGGCTCTGAGCTGTCAGCCCAGAGCCCGACGCGGGGCTCGAACTCACGGACCGCGAGATCGTGACCTGAGCCGAAGTCGGACGCCCAACCGACTGAGCCACCCAGGCGCCCCAACAAATGCTAATTATCTTTATGACAAGTCTAAAATATTTGGAGCAACCATAAAATAGTCCAGAGTGCTTTTTAACCCAAATCTGGAAGGACGAAAATAGCCGACTGAAATACTCTGCTCGTCCACATTGAGGGCTGCAGAAATGGGGCAGTGGATGTACCAGATACTTTACATCATGAAGGAAGAGGTACAGATACTGTTTCAGAGGTAACGGGGGGCGGGGGGATGGGCAGGTCAAAGGAAGCTGGCTTCGAGAGAGATTTAAGACTTACCTACTCAGAGCAGGGTCACTCCCCGCCTCCGGCACGCAGGGCAGACCCTAATTCATCCCGGCCGTCTTTCTTGAGGAGCCCATGGCCAGTCCCATAATCCTCCATTGTAGAACAGACATCACAAATAAGAGATCAGACTTGGTAGGTGGGAAGTTGCCTGTTTGTTCCCTTTGACCATCTGAATGGCAAATATCAGACCTGGAATTAAATCCACGGCAGCAGAGATGGCTCCTTTCATCACACTGTAGCCCTCCGCTTCTCTGACACCAGGTTCTCCAACAAGCCTGCTCTTGTAACTAGTGCAGGGGTTGGCAAACTCCTTCTGTTAAGGGGCCAGGTAGTAAATATTTCCGCCTCTGAGGGCCATATGGCTCTGTCACAAGAATTCCATTCTACTGTTGCGGTGCAAAAGGAGCCAAAAACAATAGGTAAACAAATGAGTCAGGCTGTGTTCCAACACGATTTTATTTATGGACACTGGAGTTTGAATTTCGTATACTTCACGCGTGCTATGAAATATCCTTTTGGTTTTTCTCAACCTTTTAAAAATGTAAAAACTACTTTCAGTTCACAGGCTGTACAAAAGTCGGTGGTGGCTTAATGGGCCCACAGACCAGTTTGCTGGTCTCTGTCTAGAGTTAGGGGTTTTCTACTTACTCTCCGGTACGCAGAGCGTGAAGAAGTGTGGGGGCTGGAAGAGCCACAGCAGTGTAGCAGTGTCACTGTGTCCACTCCAGGTGCGTCACGACTTATTTGTATGCATTCACTCCATTTGGGCGTTCACTGGGCCTCTACTCAACCCTGGGGCCTGTGCGAGATCCTGGGGACACTGAGGGAAAAATCAGGCGTGGCTCTCCTCGTGGGTTCTCTCAGAGTCAGAAAAGGTACCCACAAGCGGTCAAGTATCAGAGGTGCTTGACAAGATGCCCGTGGTAGATTCCCAGGGCTGCCACAGCGAAGTGCTACCAACCAGGTGCTCTGAAACAACACAGGTGTGTCTGTTCTCTCACAGTCCCGGAGACCGGGAGTCTGAAATGAGGGCTGGTTCCCTCCGGAGACGCCCGTCTTCTGGAGGGAGGATTGGTCCCGGGACTCCCAGCTTCTGGCAAATGCCAGCAATTCTTGGCTCCCTGGCTTGCGGATGTGCTGCTCCGATCTGCCTCCATTTTCACATGGCCTTTTGCTGTGTCTGCTTTCCCTTCTTTCCTCTAACAAGGATTTGTCACTCGATTCAGGGCCTACTCGAATTCAGGATGGTCTCCTCTCCAGGTCCTTAAACTAATTCTATCTGCAAACACCCTTTTACCAAATAAGGTTGTACTTTCAGGTTCTGGGTCGACGTGATCTTTTTGGTGAGCCACTATTTAACCCATTTTAATAGTCTTAGAAGACTGAGATTAAGGTTATCCTGAAGGCTTCATGAAGAAGGTCCCACAAGCTGCTGCTCATCAAATGGACGTGAGGGGAGGGAGGGAGCGGCAGGGTCGGGGACCAGCCAGAGTTAGGGAGGTGTGACACCACATACAACTTATCTAAACTGCAAGCGGCTGAGCCTGGCCAAAGAGCCTGGCCGGGAGAGGGTGAGACGAAGGCCAGGAAGGTCAGCAGGGATGCCACCATGGCGCCGTGGGCATCATGATCTGGCACCATTAAGCCAGAAGGATTTGACGGAAGCCTCTGGCATTCTCTTCCACACTTAACCACTTCAAGTGCACCAGAGCTGGACTAGACAACCTTTAAACTGCTTCTCCCAATCAGCACATTTAGATTCCACGATTATGGTTTTATGATCTTAAAATAACAAAAGCCCTTGTTTTCTACCACCAGTGAGTCAAGTTCCTCTTACCACTCACTCCCTGTCCTCCCAGTGTTGAGGGCCGTTCTTCCTTCCGCCCTCTTTGCTTCCTGTGGCTTCCCTCTCACTCCTGGGAACTGTGAATCGAGCAAATGTAGTTTTCCTTCTATTACTACCACCCATACAAGAGTAAATCAAGAATAAAAGGCAAGCTAATGACCAGATCACTGATCTTCCTGCATTTAGCAAAAGTTTAGAAGCAATGAAAACTACACACGTAGACAATAATGAAGAAAAAGACTATTAAAAACACCCGGCTCTCCCCTAAAAGAAGGGGAAATTACACGTGTATGCATTCCATTAAAATACGCACGGGGAAGGCTTCAGAAGCCTAAAAACAAAATACCAGTAAACCAAGCCACACTTAGAAAAATGAAAGCTGATTTTTATTTTATCATCAACAGCCATTCTTTAAACATGAACATGCATACGTAATATTCTACGCACACATCACAGTTTTTAACGTTAGTTAATAAAGGTTAAACACACAACATACATCCTTACAAAAAAAGTCAAAATGCAAACTTAAAACTTTAAACAAAAGTCTTACTAATTTAAAAAAAGTTTGTGTTGGGTACCATTTGTACAACACAGTTAATTTAAACATTTTCATTTTGGCTGCACATGAAAAAAGCGGCAGTAGAAAATAAAGTCGTTGACGGTTTTTAAATAGCAGAATAGGCAGTTTTGCCATGCAGGAGAAGCAATATTAAATATTAGTTTTCAAAAAAAATCCACATTTAAAAATATTTAGTTCAAGTCACAGAATTTTTCTCAGTAGAGACCCCAATGCAATGCGGAATTAGCTGCCTCAGATGGCCCATTCGAAAGGACAGTGTCCCTTCAGAGTAGAACTTTACTGGTTTTGGCACAGAAAAGAAGTCTTGAGAACGAGAACATGATTAAAAAAGAGGGAAGAGGAACAGAGGAAAGAAATAAAAAGCAGGAGTACATGAGATAGTAATTGCAATCACTAAAAACTGTGCATTCTCAGCCACTGCAGAATACTGTCTTCTGTCCACAGCAGGCGCCCGCCCAGGGCTGCTATTGCAGCATGGATCTGATTTGCTTGGAGGTAGTCTCATCGTTCAAATGTTTTGTTGTGTACCTGAAAGTATAAGAACAGCTATTTTAGGGAATTCTGAAAACCATGATCTACCGCGGGTTCCATCATTATCACAAGCTGGGCAAGTAGGCGAAACTCTCCTCTCACAGCATCGCGCCTTTTCTCTCCAGCTTCAGCTGCGTTCAGGCTCTGCCCTGCTTACCCTAACCACCTACTGCACAACATATCCGATAGCTCTTTACTTAAGGAAGAACTACCTTACTGAAGCGATCCAGTTAAATTCTAAGGTAAACAACGAGCTGCGCCCTCTCACGGGGAAACAGCTGTCACTCCATCTCAGGGACTGGCAAGTACAACCCGAGGCCCAACCTAGCCCACCGCCTATTTCTGTATGGCTTGTGAGCTAAGTATATTTTTACACTTTCACTTATTTTTTAAATGTTTATTTATTTTTGAGATAGACAGAGACAGAGCACAAGTGGGGATGGGGCAGACAGAGAGGGAGACACAGAATCCAAAGAAGGCTCCAGGCTCTGAGCTGCGAGCACAGAGCCCGATGCGGGGCTGGAACACACAAACTGTGAGATCATGACCTGAGCAAAAGTCAGAAGCTTACCCAACTGAGTCCCCCAGGTGCCCCTGTTCTTACACTAAAAATGAACGGGGAAAGAAATCAAAAGAATAATATTTCATGTTAACGTGGAAATTCTATGAAATTCAAATTTCAGTGTGTTTATAAAAAGTTTTAATGGAACACAGCCATATACAGATTCACTGAGGTATTCTCTATGGTCACCTTCTTGCCACAATGGCAGAGTTGAGTAGCTGTGACAAGAAACCACATAACCCCAAATCCTAAAACATCTGTGTTTATTCTCTAGCCCTTTACAGAGAAAGGCCGGCCCCCACTCTAGTCTGTATCTAAGCTCAACTAACTACCACAGTTCCAACTGTCACATCCCAAAATGTCTCCATTCTTGAAGTGCCTTATTTCCAGGTAGGTGTGTTTTGCTATAAGCATGTAAACCACAAGTAAAGAATCATGAAGAGTGATTACTATTTTATGAGAACAGTCCCCATAGGAGTCCTTTAATAGCCGAAATTCAGTAAGTGAGCCTATTATGTATCTGGCACTGTTCCAGGTTCTTACAACCTGGCAGAGAAGACAGACAGTGACACACTCACCTAAGGGGCAAAGGAGGAAAGTACTAGATGGGGCCTCAGATGCTGGGAAAGCCCAGCTCATGAGGACACTGCAGGCCACAGTGAGGAGTTGGGAAGTCACTATAAGTGCAGTGAAAGCCAGTGGAGGACATCAAACAGGGTAGTGATGTGGGCCTTTATTTATGTTCTGGAAGGACTGCTCTGGCCAATGAGCAGAGGCACCAACAGAGGGACAGCAGAGGGACCAACCAAGGGCTTGCTCCAGGGGACTCAGTGAGAGATGAGCAAGGCCTGGACCACATGAGCAGCAATGGAAACAGGTGCTCAAGGCTTGAATATGGGACATATTTTGGAGACAATTCGGACAGAACTTAATGCTGGACCAGTTAATCTGGCCTGTGAAAATTTCACATATCATCTTTCAGGAATATATAACTTTAAGCAAAGTACACACAGATGGCCTTTGTGTGTTCAAGAAACTTAAACCCAATTCTTGCTAGTTCTCAAGTCAATTGAAAAACTAAAGGAAGTATATGAACTCAACTCCTTGCAGAGGTAAAGACACAAATACTTATTAAGTACCTGATACATCCTCTACAATTTTACCCTCCACAAAGAAGGCACTTCCAAATTGTTCACATATTACTGAAAAGACACCCGAGCACCTGGCACGGGACAGGTGCTCAACTAGTATTTGTGGAAGGCAGGCGAGAAAGCAAGCAGCCAGGCTGGGGGAAAACATCCATGAAGGATTACTTACATTAAGTGGCAAGTGATGTAGCCAAGACTAAAGCGTTCTGTTTTCATTTCCAAGTGCAGATAACGCGTATGTAGCTACACATATCCTCCTGATGTCAGGAAGTAAAAACGTTCATCATCCCTGTCTTCATTTCCGTTTTTCCCTTTCCCTCACAGGGCAGAGGGCCCCCAACTGGCACACCACCATCTCTGCTCAGAGCAGCCGCACGTATCGCTACTCAGCAATGTTGTGACACCGGGAGCAGGAGTGCTCTGGCTCCTTCTGCGGGATGAGACCATGCACTTGTAACAGGTCTCACGTCCTTTCCGCCAAACGGGGCCAACTGGAGGGAGGCCTGTCCCGTCACCACACTCTTACCAAGAAAAGGCCTTTACCACCTAACGTGTGCAAAGTGTACGGACATATACGGGTTTATGTCACTTTGTGCATAACAACCAAGTTCCTTTCCAAGTGCATATACTTTTCTACTGAAGAGAAGCAACTATTATTGATCTTTACTCTGAAATTGAATAAAGACAGCAGTTATCTAGCATTAAACCTTAACTCCGAGCTCTGGCTCTCTCTCATGATCAAGGCACTTGGTTCCACTTCTCCACCTACTGAATGTAGACAGGACTTGCTGCTTTCTTGTAATCACATCCTGTAAGCTGGAGGCACTGTGTTATTTCTATACAGAAGCACTCCAAATAAATAGCTTATTATACGCATGTGCAATTAAAACTTAAAAATTTATGGTTATTAACTGCTGGCTGAGGAAAATGAGGGAGTGAGCATTTCTAGTAAAGCAGCTACTCAGAAAGTAATTCCACAAAAGTGTTTTCCATTTTCTAAAGGTTTAATTAACAATGAACATTTACATAGCACTTTGGGGATTATAAAATGCTTTTTACATAGTATCTCCTTTGCTGTGAGTGAAGCATATTAAGGGCGAGGGTGATTTAGTTTGAGCAACGTTTCTCAAAGCACCAGCATTGTATCAGCAAGGATGTTTACTTATAAAATGAGGTGCGTGGGCCCCACACCAGACCTTAGAATCTCTCTGGGTACGGTGGCCTGGGAATGTGCCTTTTTGTTTCCCTCCCAGTTACTCCAAAAACACTCCAGGGTTCAATCACACAGGAACCTTAAGGCTCAATGGTACAGCATCAAGCATATGGGATTTGAAGAATGAAATCCTGAATGTGAAGACGGAGTCTGACATTGATTAATCGCCTATGTAATCGGTAAGTCTCTCAAGAGCTCAAGGTAGCTGTACAATGGAGACATACCCCACACCTCACATCCATCCCCTACTTCACAGAGCTGTGGTCAAGATCAAATACAGTCATAAAGACGAAACCGCGCTGTAAACTTACAGGGCTACAAAAATGTTACTCACTGTAACCACTACAACAAAGTATCAACTACACCGATGAACCTTAAGAAACTTCCCAGGTGGAAAAATGAGAACCAACCACAAAACACATCCACTGGGAACGAAAACAGTTCGAGAGTTATCTCTGCAACAAAACCTTCATCTTCTACTTTCCGTTAGAGACGTGCAAAGATGACTGAAAAGTGACCGGTGGCTCTTGCCTCAATGGTGCTTTTCTCCCCTCAAACACAGACTGGCGTGTGCAAGACTTTAACCCCACCTCTCACCTCCCACAGCCCAGCGCTGCCCTAATTTGAGAGTGGAGAGACTGAACTACCTTTAACTACTGCAAACAAAAGTAAACTCTGAGTCTTCATGTGTGGACCACTGTCCCTTCGAAGTAAAGAAATAACACCAGACCCTCCTGGCCTCCAATTGTCTCTTCCTTTTCAGAACAGGTCTCCTGTCACTGGGTGGCTTTGGAGAGTCTAACCAATAAGAAAGGAGAATCTTAGGAGAAAAAGTGAGCTGACTGGGACCCGGGGAGTCTTGAGAAAGAGATCGAGTAGTTATGGTTCACAATAGCACGATTATGGGTGAAACAAATGAGGTGCACACTGTAAAAACCTCCAGAGTAAAAAACTCCCAATCATTGTGGTTTCTGACAGACTTATGGCTGAAATAGCTTGACATTATGAGGATTTTCATGGTTATACTATGTTCCGTAATCTTTCTGGTATTTGTTCAGAAGAGACCTCCTTTATTCAGGCACTCGCTGCTTACAGAATATTTCTCATAATCTTAATAAAATCGTTTGATGGTTCCATGCAACTGAAATGACACAGCATAGATTCTGCTTTATCATGTGCCAAGTGTGACTAAGCATTCAAGAGGAATAACCAACCTGTTTGGCTCATAAAACATGGGAGAAACTTAAGACTGAACTGGAAATCATTTTCATGTATCATGTGGACTGCAGTGAGAAACAAAGATGGCCTGTGACCTCATTAAGTTTCTATATAAATATTTCTGTGCTCATGTAATTTTTGTGTTTAAACACAAAATAAGCAATGAGCAAGTTATCTTTTATGTTAGGAAAATAAATTACACTACAAATTAAACCTCTGTAGCCAAGATGTTATAATATGCTGTGATTTGCATTTAAAAATAGTCCAGCATTCAAGAAATGCCTGGCTGGCTCAGTCAGTAGAGCATGCAACTCCTAAACTTGGGGTCCTGAGCTCAAGTCCCACATTGGGCCTAGAGCTTACTTAAGAAAAATAAAAGAAAAAAGAATCCTGCCTTAAAAAACAATTCCACCATTATTAGGAGCTACAGTCGCTAAATCGAGTAGTGTAAGCAAGAGAAGACATCAAATAATAACAAGTTTATTTTCATTACAAGAAATACACAAAAGTAACAAAAATACTTGTAAAAACAGAAATATTAATACACTATATTAAGGGAAAAGAGGTAGTTATAAAAGAGTTTGTATAGCATTACATTTGTAAAAAGGTAAGTATCAGAGAGCTTTGACTATCTACAAATATAAAGAACAAACTGTGGTAGACTATATACACCGAAACATTAACAGCGGTTTATTTCAAAATGGTGAGATTATGTGATTTCCTTCTTTTGCTTCCAATTTTCCTGGGTTGGCTGAATTTTATTTACAATTAGCATGGTCTACTTTCATTAAAAAATAAACATCCCAAGAGGAGCAAAAAATGAAAGCCAAAATCTATAGCAAAGAAATGAAGCTATTTTCATCTGTGCATGCAATACACACACATACACACACCCACCCACCCACCCACCCACTCTTTATTGGAAAAATATCGCAACTGAAAATTTAAACACAAGGTTACCAATAAGCAAAATGGTATTGCACTTTTCTAACATGAACATATATATTCATATCCTTTGTATTATTCACGTTTTGAAGCATTTTCTTACATATATTTTTTCTGTACAGACGCACATGTACATATACACACCTGAGAGCATTTAGAAGACCTTCTACGCTATTGGGAGGTTGGTCCTTAAGAACTTTGATACAACCTTTCATCTAAGGAGAAGAAGAAATGGAAAAGGTAAAAAACTGTGTTCTCTCAAAGAACATTCACTATCAAAACAGTAGTACTTAAATTAGCACAACTATGGAACTCGTGAGAAATTACATTCTGGAAATGTCAAAATTATTACTGTTAGAACAGGGGGAAAAAACTACGCAAATGCTATTTTCAGTTTCTCAAACAGAACGTTTTAAGAACCAAAGCAGAAGCAGCAGGCACACTCATGAGAAAAGTACAGGGCGGCGAAGGGAAGACTTCCCGGAGAAGGTGTGGAGCAGTCTCTGAAAGGACGGACGGACGCGGTGCCAAGGAGCAGAGGAGCCTTTCCAGGCAGGCAAACACCTTGACAAAAATAGTAAAGTTTACCACACGCTGAGGACAGAATCTTGGGGAGTCACAGGGGAGTTTACAGAGGGCTTCGCAAGCCAGGAGGACTCATTTGGAACTTATGGGGCAGGGACGTGTTATGGGCCATTAGAAAGGGAGCAGCTCAGTGTAGATGGTGTGTAAAGATGGGCTGCAGACTGTGAAAATGTAGAACACGCTAGAAGAGCACAGCTTTGGAAACCATGGAGGTGTGGATTCAAAATCCCACTCCATCATTCACTAGAAATTACACTATGTCATTTCCCTAAGTTTTAGGTTATCTGTTAGTACGGGGGAGATAACATCTACATCCTAGAAGTATTTTCACAGGTAAGTGGGCAACAAGCATTAATTTCGTAGGACACAGTAATCATTCAATAAATGTTAACTCATTTCTCTTTACAGAGGATGGACGTGAATAAAGAAAGGCAGGGAGACTGGCTGGCAATCGGTCATCTAGACACGAAATGCTGAGAGCCTGAACCACAAAAGGGAAAATGGCAGGCCATTCTCACCAAACACTGGTTACAATTCTGATGAACCAGATGTGACGAGGAGAGAAATTAGAAAACAGAGGAACCAAGGGAGCTACTTTATCCCTAATATAAATTCGTGTAGAGACAAGCAAAGCTGACACCCAGATGAGAGCCACAAATTACTATGCCTGGGAGGAAGGAGAAAAATCTGTATTCTGTTACACAGTCTTTTTCCACTGGAGCACCTCTACTGACTTTGTCTATACATTATGGAAGTAAATCTTTTGTTTGAAATGGCCTTTGGTCAAAGAATGAAATTTCTGATGTCTGATTATTTATTTACACTGCCAAACAGGCAGAAGGACCACTGGCGAGTACAAGGTCCAGCTGTCCTCCATTCTACTGCACTCGTATATGGCTGTAAACCATCCAGCACGATATGAGAGGCAACAGAAACCCACCATTATCAGAAACTATAAAACTGAGGTCTGTGACAGAGTGCAACCTGCAGCTCTTTAAACAAAAGCCTACGATCTCCACTTACGGAAATGGTTGAGAATTAAATAAAGCATTGTAACTTACATCAATTTTTGAAGTTTTGGCAAATGCTCCCACTGGATGTACGTGGTCATAGAGTATTATGACACCCACCATTACCCTCAAGCAGAATGACACTGTCTCTTCATTTGTAAATCTGCTTCTGTATTCCCTGGGGGGGTAGAAAAGATATGGCTGGATGAGGCACATCACTACTTAAGGAGTTCATTCAACTTTCAGCTGATGCTGAAGGATACACTCTGTTGATATCTAAAAGGAATGCTAACATATACCCTCCTTTCTCCATGGTGAGATTCCCAGGGAAATGAGGTTGATAGAGCGGTGATCACTCTGATCTCTACATGCACCCTCTTGGTATATCACCCCTTTTGCTTGGCAGAGATGAGGCAAATTTAGAGAAATGAAAAGCCCCAAAGTAAAAGCTTCAGGACAGGTGCTTTGTAAAGGCTGTTACCACCAATGTGATGGAAAAAGCCACTTGCTTAATAGAGCAGTATGTTTGCTATTTAGAAGCTAACTTATTAATCGAAGTATTACATCATTATATTACTTCATTCTAGTTTTACTAAAATTCAATCATATTCCTCTCTCGGGAAAAAGGGAAATAGAATTTTGTCTCTGCAGAAGGCAGCATGGCATGGCAGAAAGCGTCCAGAACCAGGATGGGACCATCCAGGCACATGGGTGGGGTCGGCCACCGTGCTTAAGTCCCTTCGCTTCCCAGGAGCTCACTCCCCTAAATGATGATAATGATGAATGGCTGCCCTCCTACTTCATACGGCTTTCCAGAAAGATGATGTGCGTAATAGTGCTTTGGAAAACGAAAAGCTCCACAAAAACAAAAGTTATCTAATAGAACCATATGTTATTCAGGAATCCAGGAGGGATTCTTTCTGCCTGCTGATAAGAAAATCCAGCCAGAAAACACAGTGGTACATATGATAAATGGCTTGAAAGTGAAGGGAAACCCAGAAGAGAATTCAGATTAGTGTCGGATAAAAACCCCAGACTGTGAACTAATACCGAGGGACAGGGATAAGGAGAAGAGTTGGCAGCTCTTCCTTTTCCAAAGCGCCATTACACACATCATTTTGTTGGAAAGCCTTATGAAGTAGCAGGGCAACCATTCATCTAGCAAAAGGGTAAGGTTCCTCACTGAAAAGGAGAGAATGCTTAATGAGAAGCATAACCAAAACACCAAAGCTCTTCCCCCACCTCCAATAAGAGCACCACAAAATTCCCCACTCTGAAGAATCTAAGTTCTAAGTTAGCCTGACTGGTCTCAGGCACCTGAAAACCCACTGTACTTTCTACTCAAACCAGAAGTTACATTAAGCTTCCAAATTACTTTAATATCGTTCATATATTAACATTAATTCCCACCTTCCAAATAAGACATGTTCATATCTAGACACCAACTTCGGTAGGATTGTTAGAGTGAAAAAGATCAGCTAATACTCACGGTGTTTCGAGCATGACTCTGCATACACTGGCCATGGTGCTTAGACAATCCGTGGTATTTTCTATTGGTAAATTTTTATTCTGTAAAAGTATATAGAGAAAAAAAAGTGAAAGTGATAGTTATTACTTAAGTATAATTTAAAATCCAGCACAATGTGGAAAACTGACAACTTTAAAATTTGGTTCCTACTCCTAATTTTTAAAAAAGTGTGCTAGATTCTAGGTACTGTTCTAAGCTCTAGGGATATGGCTAAGAGCTAGAGAACCAAGACCCTGTGCTCCTGAGAGTCACTTCCATTCTGGCTGAGTGGAAACAACCACTACATGCAGCCAGGGCCCCACAGGCCATGAGGTATGGGGAATTTATCCGAAGGATACTGGGAAGTCACTGGGAACACTTGAAGCAGAGGAAGAAAGGCATTTGGTTTTTTTTTTTTTAAAGATTACTGGGGCACCTGGGTGGCTCAGTAAGTTGAGCGTCCGACTTCGGCTCAGGTCATGATCTCGCGATTTGTGAGTTTGAGCCCCAAGTCAGGCTCTGTGCTGACAGCTCAGAGCCTAAAGCCTGCTTCAGATTCTGTGTCTCCCTCTCTCTGCCCCTCCCCCAATTGTACTCTTGTCTCTCTCAAAAATAAATAGACATTAAAAAAAAAATTAAAAAAAAAAAAGATTACTTGGCTGTTCTTTGAAGAAAGGACCATCGTGGGGTCAGAGTGGAAAAAGTAAGGCCAGTAGGAACATGAATGCAGGTGACAGAGTGGTGGGCTGATGTGGAGAGGTAGAGGAGGAGAGGGGCAAAGTTTTCAGATTCAGGATGTATTTTGGAGGAAGAGTCAACAAGACTATCTGATGGAAGAGACATAAGAGGTGAGATAAAGAAAGGTATTCAGGATGATGACCCCTAAGTCAGTTGCTTTTACAGTGGTACTATCAAGACAGAAAAGACTGCAGAAAGGGCTGGGTTTGGCCACGGTAACACTGAGGTGATGCCTAGACATCCAGAGGGAAGCTGCCAACAGGCAGGTAGATGTGTATGCGTGTGCCTCGGGGAAGGGGCAGGACTCAGTGCACGTGCACAGAAGACGCACAGAAGACGGCAACGTCGTGAGGCCTGGACAGGTCACCCTGGCTGCTGACAGGAAGTGTAACAACATAGAGAGTAACTGTCCAGACAACACTTACCTCTGATACAAATTTTGTTGTGGCGTCACTTAAGGTTTTCAGCATTGGGGTTGCCTCAGCATAAAACAAAGACATTCGATTTGCCAATTCATTATTTACTTCATTTTCTCCTTCTGCCTGTGTGGAAAATAAGCACTTGATATCAGTTCACAAATTATTAAATATGATAACATGTATAAAAGAACCAAGGCAGAGTGACTGTTTCGCTAATGCTTGTTAAATTACTCTAATAAATACGCTTATATTTTAGACCCTCATGTGCACGTACATTTAAAAATAGGTTAAAAATGGTATTAAGCAATTTTTCAAAAAGAGTAACCGCTCTTAAAATATTTTACATGACATCAAGCAACTAAATAAAACCTTGCTGGGCTGCCTCCTGTAACAAGGAGTGGCTCTAAATGCTACGGGGGCAGGGAGATGGCGAGGGCACGGCCTGGCCTCCATCTCAGAAGCACACAAGTATCCAAACAACAAGCTGAGCGGCAATGACAAAAAAAAGGAGGGGAGAGAAAGACTACGTCTGACCGGAAGAAACAAAAATGGATTCTGAAGAGGCAGCTCTTGCAGGTGAGGGCGGGCAGGTACGCATGGTATTACAAGCAGACAGGGGATGAGAGCATGTTTTCAAATGACGTGGAGTGTAACCCGGTGCACTCAGGGCAAGAAGGGGAAACGACCAGCGAAGAGTAAGGGTGGAAAGCAGGGCTGGAGCCAGACTGCGGAGGACCTTAGCTGTTGGCCTAAGTTCCTAACTTTCTTCTGCACGTAACAGGGACCACTCTGCGCTAGAAGAAAGAACAACAATGAAGTCAATTTTCTAAAGCAAGTTGACAGATGATGGTAGGCAGAGTGTACCAAAAAAGAAAAAGACCAGGGGTCAAAAAAAGGAGTTCTCCCGCTAGAGAATGACTGTTGGAGATGCGGAATGAGGCTCTCGACTGGGACAGAAGAACTACTAGATGAAAGGGGGGAGGGGGGCGAGGAAGAGACTGGAAAGCTATTTCACTTGATAACAACTGGATTTCCCTTTAATTACTGAGGGTGCAAGATGGCACCCTTGTATTTGGCCTCGAGTGGTAGCAGGATGGCTACAGCAGAGGGCTGGCTGGGTGTTACGTGATTTGATCGGATCTGATCTGACTTTACACGGTGGGTATGAAAAAAACAGACGATAAGCTCAGCCTCAAAGCAAGAACTGGTCTATGCAAAACCACACTGATGTAAAATAACAGAAGCTTCATGGAAGAGAAATCCTTCTTCCAACCAAGGGCCTTACAGCAGCCACTTCATAAAATTTTGATTCAATGAAAAAAGAGAAAGAAGAAAAAAAAAAAAAAAGAATGATCTCCCTTGTCATTTTCTTTAACCTCTTAAGCCACTTACTGCTCCTTACACACTCACATGATCTTTCCTTACTAAGCTATCTAGTTAAGGCTGTAAGGCTGATCCTAGAAAATTTTCACACCAATTAGCACAATGTAGGTCCTCAAAATACCTAAAGAAAAAGATATTTTCTATTTAAGGTTTTACTTCTGGTAGTTGACTCCCTGGAGGTAGAAAGGGGTAAAGACAAGGAGAAATCAAGGGAAATTAAGCCTTAATAAACCAGAAGAGATGTTATACTAGCCAAGGACCAGGCACAGAAGCGCTCATGGCCCACAACTCTGCTGACAACAGTACCCCTCCCATTCCAGGCCACCTTCTTTCCTGGATTCTTCCATTCTAAGACCATGGGGTCTCACAACCACTAATCCACAAAGTTTTTGTGCAATTAAAATGAAAATACACACGGGGGCCTGGCTGGCGGGGTCGGTGGAGCATACGACTCTTATCTAGGGGTTGAGTTCAAGCCCCACATTGGGTGCAGAGATTACTAAAGAATAAAATCTTTAAATGAACGAGTAAATAAATAACATGAGAATACACAGAGAAATTCTGTAAGTATTACTATATGGACAAGGAGCAGTTCTATTAAGTAGGCGTAGGGATCTGAGGCGCTAGGTGAAGAGCAGGGAAGCACCACGCATGGGCTGCTACATCTTGCACTTTCCTCTCATACCTACAGTCGCCCATAGCTGGTTATTGACTATGTCATTAGCTTTAACTTGATCTGAGTGAATGAGCAAATGAACAAGGAAATAAGCGAATGCACTGAACAAATAAATTAACGGCTCCCATTACCACCCCCCTGATTCAAAGCATTGACTTACTGGAACGTTATTAATCCTCATACGACTCAATGTTCTTCTGTAATAGCTGAAATCATTCTGTATGGCGGGATTTGTCATCTAAAGACATTTATGAAAGAAAAATGTATTATGTACACTAAATGATAGTGTAAAAAATAAGTGAAAAAATCTACTAAATACAGCCTTAACTAGTTAAGTAACATTCCCTAATTTGTAAACAATTTAAGAACTAAAACTGGTATCATCCACGATAGCTTTTTGCACTTAAATTATGTAACACTGTACTTAGTCCTTACAGAACATATAAACCCTGTAGACGGTTTTACAGTCGTGATCTGAATACTTCCCTTCTTTTCAATAATTTCAGGTAATACGCTAAAAGGTTGTTTCCCAAAAACCAGTATTACCAAATAAACAAAAATAAGAAGAAATACTTAGGTACTTGTTTTGAATTATTACAATAAAAGTATGAATATATGGTCAACAGGGCAATCCTCAGACTAAAATCATATATATAAATCCTTTGTGCTCAAAGTATTAATAAAACAAAATCGTTTCCTATTATGCAATCATTAAAGACTGTAGTTAGGAATCCACCTGCTCTATTTATCAGACGAGGTCCCTGAGGTCCTGGAAAGTCAAAGGGCCTGTCTCACATGTGGTCACTGTAACAGAGCCCACAGTGGAACTCAGGTCTCCTGAGACAAAAGCTAGTTCTTGTTTCTCCACACTCCCTCCCTCCAACAACGTGGAGGTCGGGTGCACAGGGAAACAGAAAGATAGACAGACAGACAGACAGATGAGGAAGAGAAATGAAGGAAGGTAGGAAGGTAGGAAGGTAGGAAGAAAGGATCTTAACATTTTTATGTAGAAGGATGTTGAAGATAAACTGGGAATGAACAGAAAAGAAAAAAAGAGTATTAGGAAAGGTAAATAGTATATGCTTCAGAGCTTTTTTAAAAATGAAACTAAATGGGGGCGCCTGGGTGGCTCAGTCGGTTGGGCATCCGACTTCGGCTTAGGTCATGACCTCGCGGTCCGTGAGTTCGAGCCCCGCATCGGGCTCTGTGCTCAGAGCCTGGAGCCTGTTTCAGATTCCGTGTCTCCCTCTCTCTCTGACCCTCCCCCATTCATGCTCTGTCTCTCTCTGCCTCAAAAATAAATAAACGTAAAAAAAAAAAAAAAAAATGAAACTAAATGAAGACTGAGTATTGGATAATTTGCTATTTGCTATGCATATAATGTATCAAAGATCTGCTACAACTTTTAAATCCAGTTCTCCAAGTTTTGCCAGGGACCAAAGGACATCACGTAAACACTCAAACTAGGTCCCCAGGAGTCTCCTCCTACGCCCACGATTTCTATGCTGGCAGGGCCAGCATGGAGTCCTACCTTGAGTTCGTCGAACCGGAGAGTGAAGTGAAGAATCTCCGCAAACTGTTTGGCAAGAGCCTGCTCTCGCTCTAGATGCTGCGTGGGAGAGTACGGGGTACTGGTCAAGGCTCCCAGAAGGCCTCTTAGTGCTGCTTCTAAAGAAAGAAAGATTAAAACGTTAAGCTGTTTGTATGTCTCTGATTTTTATTTATTAAAAAGCAATTTATAAATGTTATGGCTTTAATTCCCCCAAAAATAAGGTCTCTTCAAAAGTCGTATTATCTAAGTATAATCACTCAAACTGAAGAGTGTTCAGTAGAACAAATTGGTCCCTTAAAGGGACCAATTCAGTTTTAGAATTCTGTAAACCCAAATGCAAAATAATGCAGAATGTGAATCTCAATTAAACATCAGGATCGAACAGCAAATTCTGAATTATCTTCACCATTCTATACAGTGTTGACTTTTATGAACTGGTAACGGTTACCTAGAGCTGAGTAACTCCTTCAGTGGCATAGTGTCCACACAGTCAAATCTCTACATGGCTGTGAATGAATGAGCAACTTCTCATACTTTGAATATGCTCCTTATTTATAAACGCAAACTGCTTTCTGTCAGATACTGAAGGACATAAAGTATTTGGTTTAATAGTTAGATCTCAGTGTCTTAAGAGTTAGGCAACTTAGGAACACAATGAAAATATTCTAAATTCATCCCATAAGTAAAACGGTCCCTTCAAAATAAGTGCTCCTTTTGGAATGCCAGACTAATAAATGGTGTGTTTAAAAATGGTAATACTGGAGTGTCTGGGTGGCTCAGTCAGTTGAGCATCTGACTCTTGCTTTCGTCTCAGGTCGTGATTTCACAGTTTGTGGGTTTGAGTCCTACAGTGAGTTCCGTGCTGACACTGTGGAACCGGCTTGAGATTCTCATTCTCATTCTCTCTCTCAAAATAAATAAATAAACTTAAAAAAAAAAAAGGCAAAGAAATCAAGCAATTAATTCATTTAAAGATTTCAGATTCAGCAAACAAAGCCAGATTCCAGGAGCATGTGAGTGGCTCAGTGGGTTAAGCATCCAACTTCAGCTCAGGTCATGATCTCACAGTCCATGAGTTCGAGCCTGCGTCGGGCTCTGTGCTGATGGCTCAGAGCCTGGAGCCTGTTTCGGATTCTGTGTCTCCTTCTCCCCTCCCCCCCATTCATTCTCTCTCTCTCTCTCTCTCTCTCTCTCTCTCTCAAAAATAAATTAAAAGAACAGTAAAAACAATTCTTTTTAAAGAAAACAATGCCAGATTCTATTCTAAAAACACAGGAACTTATACTAGTAGATGGTGATCTGACATGAACAAATAAATATCAGATTAATAAGCAAATATTTATCAATAATAATAAATGTACATCAGATCATTAACCCTTAACTTAAAAATACACCAGCTGTACTACGTATGAAGACCCTACTAGGAACGAACATCCACACTGTGCACGTGACCCAGTCTTTCACTGACCTGTCACCATCAACTAGGACATGAGCATCACAGATGGGTACACTCAGTTTCAAAGCAGTTAGACCCCCAAGAGTTTGGATAGTTAACGCCAGATGTTTTGGACTCTACAGCCCTATTCTTTTCAGCATAATACATAATAAACTGTCTCTCAAATGAAGCAACAGTGTATCTATCCTCTGTAACCTTATAAAATATGAATCTATGGATTACTACACAGGAGATACTTCTTATGTATTATGTGCTGGTACTGAGCTAGCCATTACACAGACATTATCTGTCATCTACACAGTAACTCAAATGACAGCTCTTATCCTTTTTTTTATAGCAGGTCAGAAAACGTATGGACTGTCTACTGTGTGTCAAGCCCTGAGGATACAGAGATGAAGGCAGACGTGTTCCCAACGCCCACATGGAGCATGACTATACAGAGAAGACACATGATTACAGTTGTGATGTGTGTTATCAAGCACATGATACAAAAGAAAAATATAGAAATGGGACCTCACCTAGTTGAAGGTTCAGGAAAAGACCTCTCTGAGTAAGTGACATTTGGGCTGAGACTTAGGTGTGCACCAAGGATGAATGAGAGTTTGCTAATAGGGCAGTGAGCCAGATGCTAGGCTGAGAAGAGCAAGACATAGCAGAAGAAGTACAAGAGGACCAGTACAGGTAGAAAAGAGCACCGGGAGGAGAGTAACCCCGGACCAAAGTAAGATGCATATAATTTGTGTGCCAGATCAAGCATTCTGGTCTTGTCACCCTAATGTCCCTGGAGAGACTATTTAAGCAGAGTAGTGACATCATCAGATTGACATTCATAAAAACGCCACTTCATCTGGGCTGTGTGCAGAACTGAACTGGAGGAGTATGGCTGGCTTACAGAAGTGCATGAGTGCGTGTGAAGGTCAATTAAGGAAAACATAGTTTAGCCATTTTGAAAAATGGGTTACTCATCTCCCAGAATTCATTCCATCTGTCAGTATTAATGTAAGTTAAGTGGAAAGCAAGGTTTGAAAGATATGAGAACAGTAAAAACTTAAAAAAAACACACACAAACACCAATACTGTTACAGGCTGTTAAAGAAAAAAAGAAAACTGCATTTCCCAGATTTTATCAAGTCTCAGGGTTAATTTAGCATTCAAAGTGCTCTACACTATGGGGGATGGCAGACCTTTCCCCCAAGGAGTGGAGTCCAGTCACTTGGCTGAGTTGGGATGGCCAGGAACCATGCCGGAGGACTTCTGTCCTTAAATGGCTGGAGTCCTCAATGGCAAATCTATGAAATAAAAAGTCATCTCAAGATGATGGCACTGCTTATCTGCCACTGAGGCACCTAGACCAGCCTCTCATCTTGGAGGGCCTCTGTGGACACAAAAGAGTCGTGCTAGCCCACACTGCTGTGTGTCAATAGAGGAATCAGAGACAGAAGATCCCAAAAGGTGGTTCAGGTTTCTGGCTGACTTGTAAAGAAAGGGAGGTCAAGGAAGAAAGGATGTAGGGATCAGTCTCCCTGGTGGAGCTCCTAAAACAAAACCACGTGATTATGATCCTCAGAAAAGGTAGGTGACAAGACGAAGTTAATAGACTACTAAGCCCTAAATTCTGGAATAAATTAACTGGTAGATCAGTGCACAAGTCCAAGCTATATAAGAAGGCTGCAAGCAAGAGATCAACTGGGAGAAATGAAAAAGACAGAGTAGTCCACAACGTAGAACAGTAAGGGGAAATAACTGGATGCCTTGGCGCGGGAGGCCTCTGTGGAAAGTTCCCCTTTAGAAACAAGCATTTGTTCCCACTGCTGCCATCCACACCTCTAACAAAGATTTGTCTGAGAACTTAAAATTCTCAGAAGAGAACACCAAAGATGTGGGCTGTGGGTGATTTAACATAGCCAAGAAACATGGCCACACTCACTGCGGGCAATCCAGCCCAGTGAAAACAAGCAACATATTGGAAAGAGCTACTCATTATGACCCCAGGAGATGGTCCCCATAACAAGCCCTTGGAACAGGAGGAAGACGAAAGAAAGACAAAGCAGTCTGTTCACTGTCTGATCATCATACAACCTTCCCTGAGGTGGCTGCCTCAAGTGGGAAGGCCTTAGACTGAAACAAGCAAGTCCAGGCATTTCCCAGGCCAGAAGGTTAGCCTTGTCAACAAAAGTCAGTTATCTTCCAAATCAGGCAAGTGATCGTTTCCCTGTCTCCCTACAAACATGCCAGCTGGCAAGGGATCAGGGTCCCTCTTCTGGAGTACACACCACAGTGTATCTGTGGTGCTCAGGCCAAGCAACCTTCTCCTTGGGACTGCAAGATTCTGAAGGATCATGTGTATCATGACAGTTATGTGCTGCCTCGGGGGCTACCTGTAACATTTATCTTCAGCTGTGGCTCAAGTAGGAAGAGAAGAGACAAAAGGTTTAGTGAATATAAACCAGAGGGCTCACCAGACTCGAGGTCCAGCCAGGATCCTGAAGCCCAGAGAACTTAAGTCATGTGGTCAAGACCACACAACTGATATGTGGCAAACATCAGATTTCAAACAGGAAGCTATGCCTCCAAAATCCATTATTATTGCTTCTCCTAAATACTCAACACATACTTGATATATCAGATGTGTCTATTCATTAATTAATCATTCACTCACTCAACAAACACAGAGTTCCTATCATACGTAAATAAGGATATGCTTCGGTCAGCAAGGAAACTGGAAACATTACTAACTAGGTTACTGGCCAAGAGATGAGGAGTAAACCATCCCATATTAAATGTGTACTTTGCTCATAACTTCACAGAAGCTGCTAGAGCAATAAAAGCTCCAGGCTCCCACATGACAGTACAAAAAATGACAGCCTCTTACTACTACGTATGTTACAACATCCCTCTACTGAAATGGAACACACACTACTGGCCTGATTTAATTCCAACAGTTAAAACATAAGAGAACACGTAAGCCTGACTGGTTTGGCCTCTTTTACAATTATTCTTTTTTTAGTGGCAAATGCTGAGAGACCAAGATGAGCCTGAGTAGGCCTGAGCACCACCTACAGCAGTCAAACTACAAATGCAGGGACGAACTAGCAGCACAAGAAAAACTCTAAATATGAAGGAGTCAAGATAATCCCGATTAAAAAGACAAGTTCTCAAAAAATAAAAATAAATAAAAGATTTAGGTTCTCTGGGGTTACAAAACTACGGACTATTTGGTGTTTGGACAAAAGGTCAGGCAGTATGAAAGAACTACTGGTCACGCTTGAGAAAATAAGTTACATTCTTCTTTCCAATAAGAAAGAAAATTTATACCAACACTTGTATCTCAATTATTATTTCTGTGTACATTAAACAGTCTGTACTTCATCTAAGGAAAAACAGCAATTCTCTTACTTTTTAAAACACTTAGCCTTTTTTAAAAAAATTGAGCTTCAACTTTCAAGCAGTTGGCGGACACAGTGGCCGAGCAGCTAATACGAAGGTACAGAGAGCAAGATATAAAGTACCAGGAAGTGCGAGGGACCTACTGCCAGCTGGTAAGCACAGCCCTAAACTAGCGAACACAGAGATCGCTCCAGCTGACTGAGATGCAGACTGACCGATTCTTGCCTCAGCTACTGGTTTTTCCCGAGGCAACTGGAGATTTAAAAACAACAACAACAACAACAACACACAGAACCCAAACAATTACCATTTTTGCTCCTGGCAACTTATGTCTTTCAAATCATTCCAGCAGCTAACTGAATCTTCCCTGCTCTGCCTCCTCTTTCTCCAAGAAACCGGGACTCCGATTTTGCTTACTTACCGAACGGAAGGCACAATTCTGACCTCTGAATAATTTTTCCCAAGCAAGGGAGAAAGCGAATGATTTCCGATGCTTTCCCCTAGGTAACTTTGGGCATCTCATCAGCTTCCTATTTCTTATGTCGTACACTTTTAGAAACATGAACTCATCATAAGCAGCAATGATTTTAAGAACACAAAAACCTAAATAACCCAAAGGGCCTGAGGATTAGTTTCCACTTATGGGAAAGGATTTGCTGTAGGGAGAAATTCTACCAAGCGGTTTCTCATACTAGGATGCTTTAGGCTACACAAAATTCAGACATTTTCCTTGTGGAAGTTATAATTTGTGGAGGGAAATGGCCTACATAAATTAAAGAGCTGAGTTGACAGGGATGAGATCATGCTGTAATCTTACAGTCTAACAAGACTGCTGTACCTACGTAGCAAACAAATTCAGTGACGTGAACATAAAATACTACATAATTCCTTATTAATAAACGTCTTTTTCACTAGGGAAGTCATAATTACAAAACTTTCAACTTACCTAACCTCTGAGAAAATTCATAAAATTTCTTTAATTTGCCTACTAGTGGAACAACCGCGCCCCAAGCCTTCTCCTGCAACTTCTCATCTGCTGGATGCTGGATCGCCTTCAAAATCCAAAGAATAAAAATAGTTAGATCTTTAAAAATCACAACGATCTTATTTTCACATGAAAATACAGGTTTCAGGAAACAGAGGAAGCCCTGGTATGCGCGATAAAATAGGACCAGTCTTTCAAACCATTAGGCAATCTTTCTTGAATACAGAGGGTTACTCCCAAAGAAATGTATTTTCTTGCTTTCATCTTTCTTTTGCTTACAGGTGCTTTTCTTAATCCTCTATGGAACTTAATGCTTTTTTCAACAATCTGGCTTGCTCTCTCCAACGTCTTTCAAACAAGCTGAACACACTATCTGAAAGTTGAAACTCATAATCAAGATGGCGGGTATGGCGGGGAGGCCCTTCTTATAAACACTATCAGGAGGTACTGACATGTTTAGATTTCCCCAAGGCACAAGTACTCTGACTCCATCCACACTAAACTGAAAAACAAGAAAGCAAAATAAAATGGAAACCAGAGAGATTTAGGGAATGCTCTGAATAAGCTACAAACTAAATAAACAGGCCATGTATTATTTACACAGTGTACTTTATCTGCTTGCCACTATATTCAAATTGTCTTGATTTAAAAAAAATTTTTTTTAACATTTATTTTTGAGAGACAGAGCACGAGCAGGGGAGGGACAGAGAGAGAAGGAGACACAGAATCCGAAGCCGACTCCAGGCTCTAAGCTGTCAGCACAGAGCCCAATGCTGGGCTTGAACCCACAAACAGTAAGACCATGACCTGAGCCGAAGTCGGATGCTCAACCGACTAAGCGACCCAGGCGTCTCTTGATTTTTTAAATACAAAATGTTTTTAAATGATATTCAAACACGACAGGATTCTGAAGTGAATCCTATTTATGTGACTACCTAGAAATATTTGAAGGAAATCTGACATTACACGTTAACAATACTGATTTCACGTTAATAGGAATATTCCAAAAGGACTGTGATACTACTCTCACATATATGAGGAAGTTCTATAAGCCTCGAGCCCCATCTTAGCAATGCTTTGTATCAAGTGGCACAACTTTATTGTTCAAGAAATAAGCAAACAGATAAAAATTAAAAGTTGTTTTTCTTCTGTTGAGAAGCCTATCTAACTTTTCTTGCAAGGATCTAAAAATTATTTTCAAAATATTAAACTCATTCTCATAATATCAAAACACGCAGGCAAACGTCACCCACTTTCACAACTGAGGGAGTTAAAGACTTCCCCTGAGCCTGCCCTGCCTGGATTTAGAAGTGGACACTGGCTGCTCTTTTAGGACAACATGTTATGGTTCTCGTAATTCTGATTCCTTCTCCTTTCACGTGGTTTCACTGCTGTTAGGCAACATTTTTGGTACAGCACCCAGTATGGCCCAACACAGAGAAGGACACTTTGTAAATGGCAATGGTGAGACTGTCATGTAGCAGATATTATAACTCTCATTTTCAGAATTGTTAAAACTGGTATAGATATATCAAAACATTAGTGGAGAGCTCTTATTTCCCTCTCTAATAGTGGTTTACCCTAGAGAATGAGTTTTGTGTATTTAACAGAGTCTACATTAAGTCAAATTTTATTCTGTTTCAGTCATGTTTAATAAAATACTATTTAAGCAAAGACATCTCTAACTCCACATCCTCAGTATAGGTTTTTACATTTCACCTTCCACTTTAATGGTCCTGCACCAGATACTCACATTGCAGAAAATATTATCTGAAAGACCAAGTTATCTGGTGCAAGAGTACAAATAATTTTGATAGATCTTATTTTTACACACTGCCAAACTGACCTCCAAAAAGGCATTTTTATAATAGCACTTGCATTAAGACTACCTGTTCCTTGATAAACCAACCAGTATTGAGCTTTTAACAACTTAGCATCATATACAATCAAACTGCTTGACAAAAGTATGCATTATTAGTAAATGTGAACATTTTTCTATAGACTGTGCTCTTTCATAGGTAGAATGGTTGTTTATTTAAGTCTTCATATTGTTTATTTAAGTCTTCATATTGACAGGTACCTAGTTACATCTGTTCTTTGTATATTTGTATATTGGTACAATCAGCTTTTATTTGTACCTTCCTTTCTTAAACTGTTTTTCTATTATTCAGAAATACATTCTGCTTATAGAGTTAAACCCAAACATCAATATGCATTCCTCAGTGAAAATTTCTTCAAATGCCTGAATGGTTAAACACTTAGCCTAAATCTACAGATTTAAATGCTGTTTTTTTAAGAGTTTTCTAGCTTACATATTTTATATCTATTTTATTTACTTATTTCTCTGTCCTTACTTCCTTTACCAAGGAATGAAATGAAGGTACCTTTGTACTAAGTCTAAAGGCCTGGTCAGGTGAATTTCTTACCATTACTGGTTATTCTCCCCTTTTCTTTTACTATTCTTCAAGTGTTATTTTTCTATATAAACTTTTTTTTCTTTTTTTTTTTTTTTTTTTAACTTTGCAACATTTACCTACTTTCCCACCTGACCAATCATGGGATGCCACAAGTGCACTGAACGTGGCTTCAGCACTGAACTGAGTGACTATAATGTCTTATGGAGAACTCCAACCTTTGGTCACAGCATTTAGGGCTCCTGGTTTCACATCCCCACAAGTTCTCTTTGAAATGGCTTATATAGAAGCTTTTCTATCATTTTACCCTCTTCCAAAAATTTACAACTGCATTCAGTTAAGTTGACATATACATTACAATAAGTCAATATAAAGACTCTGGGGGGGAAAAAACTTTCATTGTAGTGAGCCTTTCCACACAGAAGCAGAGTAACCCTTCACTTGGCAAGTTTTAAAAAAAAAAAAAATCCTAAGGGTTTTAACCTTAAAAACAGGTAATGGTCTATATTAAATAGGTAATGGTCTGTATCTCTATAGCAAATGAGATGTTTTTTTCTTTATTGTTCATAGGTGACAACTGTAACCAGCTGATCAGAATTCAATCATAAAACAAACTTTTAAGAAATCTAATGATATAATACTGAACAATTAAAAATAATCTGGAGCACTAATAATCAACAAGGAGAAACATTTTTAGAGCAACTGGTGAACTGTTGTGACCTATAGGGAAGAAATTAATTTCTCATTAGTTAATTAAGATCGTGTTTAATCATTTAAACATTTCATAAATGTTTGATTTTTCAAAATATGTTCAAATGTTTAGAACTTGAATTTCACAGAAATGGGTACATGCCTTCACTTATTGAAATCTTAAGGTTTCACTTAAGCTAATGATATTGGCGAGATTAGTCTAAGCTCTTGTATTTCTTTCTTCAACGGTTACGAACTGCTTACTAAGCACTGTGTTAGGTGCTGATGACACAAAAATTAGTAAGAAACCAGGTTTATCCTCCTCAAGCTGGAGGTGGTAGTGGAGTCATAAACTTTACGTTTCAATGGTCTTTTCAAAAAGAGATGATTACCATGAAAGAAACGTGTGCACAGCACTAGGGCAACGGAGTAAGGGGGAAGTAACTGCTGGGATGTGAAGGAAGGAAAGTGTACATGTGCAAGACATTCAGGCAACAACAGTCCAGTGCATGAGAGGTAAAAAACAGAATTCACGTTAATCTGTAATTTCCCTCAGCTAATGATATTACCAACAGCTAATCTAAACCAGAAACCCTGGAATCATTTGTAACTCCCCTTTCTCCCTCATATTAACCATCCAAATGCCAAAAACCTGTGGCCCCTTAGCCCGAAACATTTCTTGAATTGTTTTCTGGTGCCTGCATTTAATTCTGCCTTCACTAATACTCCAAGTATCATTAGACGAATGGAGTTGGATGTGGACCGTCAACCCAGCGTCAGACTGCTCCTTGACAACCTCTGTGCACTGTTGGTTATACCCAAGAATAACAGAAGCAGAAGGGTGGGAAAAAATGAAGAAACAGAGCTATGTCTTCAAGAAATACAGATAAGGGCCCAGAGGCCAGGGAGTTTCTTTGGGTGGTACAGGGCACCTGATTATGTGTATACTCTGATGGGAAGAAGTCAAGCAGAAACCAGAAACACAAAAGATCTATTTAAGAGAAGGAATAATTAATAAAGTTCCAAGAGGAGGATGCAGAACAAAGGCAAAGAAATAAATCTTGGTAACAAGTAGAGACACAGCTTCTTCAGAGAAACAGAAGAAGTGGAGTAAGAGATAGATGGATAGAAACCTAGATAAGTTCAGAGGCTCACGAGAAGCAAGCTGAGACCACACCAAATATTTGCTTCATGGTGTAAAGTCATCAGACAGAGCTGGGGGAGTCCAGACCACAAGGATGATAGCAGCTTTCTCCTAAGAAGCATGGGAGGAAGGAAAAAAACAGACTGGCAGGACAAAAGGCCACAGAAAGTTACATTCTCTCCTCTTCTCAAAAAGAAAAGTATAAATAGTCCCCACTGGATACTGTAAATTTCAGGTGGAAGAGCAACCAAAAAATAAACAAAAATTTAATATACAGAAATTACATATTTATACAACATTGTTTTCCTTTTTACCCTTGTATCAATACAACCACTTTTGAAATAATGCAAGTGATCTTCCTTTAAATATAACACTTAATATGCAATAGAGAATTTGAAAATATAGTCTACGGCCATACCACCCTGAACGCGCCCGATCTCGTCTGATCTCGGAAGCTAAGCAGGGTCGGGCCTGGTTAGTACTTGGATGGGAGAATTTGAAAATATATACAAAACAATAGAGATTAAGAAGAGGGACGTAGTGAATTTTAGTTTATTGGAAAATGTTTAAACATGCTTTACCTCTCGTATTTCATGGCCGGCTCCTCTATATGACTGCAAATCTTCCAAGATACCTTCTGCATCTTTTAATACTACATTCACCTGATTATAAATTTCCTTCTCAGACTCTGTAGGCTGGGCATCTAAATAGCAGGAAAGCACAAAAAAATTTACAGTCACATGATTTTTTTTTTTTTTAGTACATGTATAACTCTAAACAATGAACAATCTCAATTTCTAAAGATGCCTAACATTTTATTCAATGTTAACTTCACACTTCTTAGAAAAGACTGGTAATTTTTTCATACTTCTACATTTGAATAATTAGCCTCAAGTTTGTAAATATCACAAAGGAGCAAGGAAACATCAAACATTACTATTTAAAGTTACAAATCATGGCTTGGTATATATCATAATCATTACCAATGACTGTGAATGCATAAATAATGATTTACTTTAATCCAACAGAAATGCAAGGTCTACTAATATATCTTGTTCATCTCCAGCTTAAGACTCCCAACTATTTTCCTACAAAGTTCATTTTAATGACTAAGTTTTGATATGAAAAATTAAAAACTATTTTAAAAGAACAGTAGTTAGATGCTCTCCTTTTCTACAGACCACTTTAAATTCTGTGCCAATGAACTTCTGTGCTGATGAGCACAAAGTCAAGAGTCCTGTGCAGAGGAGTTCAACTCATGACATTGCTCCAGAACGAGTAGGCTGCTGAAAACCAGACACTTTCAGCTGCAAAGCTGTTACTGAAATTTTGAAATACGAAATCAAAAGCTGACTCCCCCCATTCTTGGGACTGAGTGAGAGAAAAATGAAGGGAGAATTACAGTCATAAAAAGCATAATCAGGAACACAAACATATGGGCATTTCCACCACCTGTGGTGTCAGCCACAGAACATATGCTAATAGATGACTAAATCTGGATTTCTCTCTGCTAAACTCGAGGTAACAGAAATCCTGTTTTTAATAACTTGGTCATTTGTTTCTCTAAGGAGGAATAAATCTTTTTTATTTAATACTTGGTGTTTCTTTTTTTTTTTTTTTGCTTGGAGAAAAATGGGCAATCTGTGAAACTTAGTTTCTCATAAATCATTCCAATTAGACCATGTTCAATGCTACAGTTAAGGCATGAAGCACTGAAAATGATAAACACCGTGATTAACATAATGTTTTAGAGAAGAACTGTGCTGGCTGAATTCTTCCACACAAACATTCTTCTTCCGGGGAAAGGGGAGGCAGACCAAATTGAAATATGAATGGAGAGCATTTCTGAGAACTCCCTTTTGGCTACCACTTGTGAAACTAGTACTTAGACTTCTCTGCACCCACTTCACCTCCCCACAAATATACAATGTCTTTCTTTCTTTCCTTAGAAAAGTTAAAGAAACTGAGTTCACACTTAAAACTAGGGAGTCCACATGCCCAATAACTGTAACATATTTATTTTGCACATGGGCAAGTCAGAATTCAATTCCACCTCTTAAAACCTGCCAACTAGTCAAAATACACCAGTTTTTTTTTTAAATCAGAGTATCAAATTTTAACTTCAACATACTCAAAAAGTACAGCAGCAACAATAGAGTATCATTCATGTGCAAAGCTAACTTAAGAATTTGTGTTCTCATATCTTGCCTTATTTTCCAAATCTCCTCTAAAAAATCATTTAATTTTTTAATAAAAATACCGTGACAAAATAGTTACACAAGAGGAGCCAAATTAAAACTACTCTGTGTACAAAGTCATAGAGGGATTACTAGGAGCAAATACTGATATTGCAGCTAAATGGTTTTTTTAAAAATCAGGGTTTGTCATTTAGCTGAAGTAATTTTCACATTTAGCCAGACCATAATCTCCAAAGTAACAGACACACACTAAAAAAAAAAAAAAAAAAAGCACACCTCGCAACTTTTATACTTACACCAGATGCAATAGGGAAAAATACTTTTCTTACATGCAAAACAGCAGTGTTATACTTTTTCATATGGAATTGTGAAACCACAGACATAACATCAATAGTAGACACAGATCATCATTTTACTTCATGAAATGGGAATTCATGACAAAGGACAATATTTTGACTGTTATATATCAAAAGAGATTTGTCAAGTTTGAAAATACTGAACTGTATTTTTGGTATGGTGACTAGAAGTTAACAGAAAAATGTAACACTGAGACTTACATACAAAAGAAACATTATCAAGTAGATTTAAGTAGACCTTGGAAGTGGTTAATAATTATTAAAAGTTTAGTAAGTACCAAGAAATTTAAAAATAAAGGAGAAGATTCCAGTTCCCCCTAAGGGTGGAAAAATACCCAGCACCACACTGATTAAACACTGTTTAGACTATCACAGGAAAGTCACATTTATAATTTTGAAAGCTGCTGCAGACTGCTGTAGATATGAAGACAAACAAAATAGCAGACAGGTAATAAGCACCACGTTACTGATAGCAAGTCATGCAAAAAGGTGGGAGAAAGACTATAAAAATAAAGTTTTCAAAAAATGGTATCATATAATGCAACCAAGACTTGTCACTTTGATTTTTCACGGCAAAGAATGAAACACTGTATTACCTAGAGAAAAATCTACCACTTAACCAGCTAACAAAAGGACAAAATAAAGTATCAACTACTGGGAGTAGGAGTAGTGATCAGTCACCAAGCTAAGTTTTAAAAAGCTGTTCAAGGGAATTGAAAGCATGTTTTAGTTGCTCTCATTGTTTGCAGGTAAAATGAAGTATTGCAACAATCTTGTACCACTTTCCTATTAAGGAGTCACTGAAAATAACTGCTGAAACTCGATCTGTTCTGGGACAAAGGGGGCAAAGAGCAGCTATAGAAGAAAAATAACAAAAAGCAAATCGCGTAAAAATTGCAACTGTGATATGGAGTCGTTCTGCTTTGGTCTTGCCCTCGATCATGCGGTAATATTTCCGATCTGTCTCCAGAAGTCTCATCGAGGCAGGGACCTCGGTGCACAGTGCATACACTGTATACAGCAGGTAAACTCAGTGCCCAGCAGATTTTCTGTAACACGCATTTGGCGAAAGAATGAGAAGGTACAGAGATATAAATACACCTCCAGCATAAGTTAAAGGAAGCTATAATGCATTTTTACCTCTGTACAAATATAATCCTACATCATTTTAGAAAAATAAATCTAAAAAAATGCCAGAATAAAGATATCCCAAAATACAGGGCAAAAGCAACTGAAAATATGCAAGAGGTAAAATGGGAAAATAAAGTTAGACTACAAGAGTGGATATCAGTAGTTTTACAAGATTGCGGGGGACAAGTCACACAAAAGACACGAGAATTAGAGGAAATGTAGGACTAAATGGAAAGGCACTTTAACAAAGAATCAGAGAAAGTAAGACTCTATTCCTCATTTATAAGCCACCACCTCTGTTTACTCTATTTTGGTCTACCTGGAGATAAGTAAATCGAGTTAACTAACAAATACTAAACTTCTACCGTTTATAAAGCATTATGTGAAGGTTGGAGAGGGACATAAAAATAAATAAAAGTCCCTCTTCTCCCGAGAACCACAATTTAATGAATTAATACATACAGTGGTTATTCAGGCTAAAGATCTGTCATTAGAAACAGCTCTTAATGTCATGATAAAATAAGCAATTCCAAAAACCAGAAGAGGCTACACAGCCCCCAATTCAATGCTCTTTTATATACTGCCATTAGCATAACTGCTGCCAAAATTCATGAGGCAGCTCTGGGCTTGTATCTTAATTGAACCATTATTCTTAAAATAAAATCATACAGGTATAATTTCAGAAAAAGGCTCTTTTTCTAGTACACCTCAAGGGTAGATAACAATGTCTCACTGAACACAGAAATGTCACCTCATGCCTTAAGACCTTTGTAGATGCTGTTCCTTCTCACTACAGTGTCCTTCCACTACCTTGCCCTGAAACATTCTAACTCACCCTCCCACAACCCAACTCAAAGGTCACCATCAGAAAGTCTTCCATGATGTCCAAACTACTCGTTGCTAGGTACGGTTAATTCCTTGTGATCTACAACTTGAATGTAATTATGTAAATGAAATTATCAGTTTGCATTTCTAACTTACTAGACTGAGAACTCCCCAAAGGCAGGGGTTATATCTTAGTTATCTCTGCATCCCAACATCTACTGGCTGGCACACAGGGGGCAAGCCTTAAATGTGGAACTGAAGTGGAAACCCGTACATGTACGTGCATGCATGTAAATTAAAGGAGTAAGGACTTACAGACATCTTCATTTTGTAAACTACAGGATTCCATCAGATGTTTTATATGCACAAGAATACTTAATGTGTACACAATTTGATACAAAATATCAGTATATCTATCTATATGGAATTATTTCTATAAGTTGCCCAACCAGAGAAATGCAGTAAGCCAGATTTACTCACTGTAAATCTAGATTTATTACTCGCTGTAAATAGATTTATTATTATACTATTCCATCATTCTGAGTGATGGAATGATGGAACAGTATAATAATAAAGTCAAATTACTCTCGTAACCTGAACATTATCGTTCAACCTGGAACAATGTAACACCAAATATTCTACTTAATAAAAGAATGTGGCTTTATTCTCAGTAAACACCACGAACTGGCAAGTCAGTTGTGTTGACAATTCTTAGTCTGGCCTACAACCGTTGAAGAGAGGACCCATGTGATGGGCTAAAAAGTCCCTAAAATAGTCTAATGATAAGATCAATTTTTACAAATGCATATTTCCAAAAAGAAGAAAATACGCAAATAGATGAAAGATAAAATTGACTAAGAGAACTCTAATGTTGGAATCAAAAGAAAACATATTTAAAAATCTAGATAAGAAGTAACAACAGGCAAACTCTGGCCTCATATACAGAATACCAGTAAGTGTCAAACGAAAAGTTCTACACTGGCTGATAAAGGCAACAGATATCACCTTTTACTTTACATCTGCCTTTAACAAGTTAACACTTTACCCATAGTTCTTCATTATTGCTTATTTTCCCCCTGGTGGTGTTAGCACTTTTAACGTTCTCCTGCTACTAAATTAGCTATTAAATTTTAAGGATAATGGTCCAAACCCCCAAAGACTACAAAACCAAGACCAAATAATATTTACAATAC